TCTTGTAAAGGCCTCCCAACCAATAAATTATGTAGTGAAATTTCAAACAGAGTAAATGGCTTAGATAGCCAAGAAATCATAGAGTTTGAAGTCACTTCCCTTGCTTTTATCTATAAATAGCTCTGATTTATTGTATTCTATGTTGGTGGTATCAGGTATGTAGATATAAAACTAATTATAAACGTATTAAGACTATATATTACCATGATTAAATTATTCATAGTATGTGTGTAATTGTGTGATTATCAATTTCAGTCCCATTACTTTAACTGTTGCCAAATGCTGGGATCCTACACCAAAAGGATACTTCACATTACCTCCTAGTAAGTATAATTATCATAGTTTTTCCTTAGAAAATGGCGAACATTCATCGTCCCCTCAAATAAGGTCATTGTTAGTGCTTGATCAGATTTGGTTTTTTCATTAAACATTAATCAGTGTTTAAAACAGTGATACTTCATAGCACTAATTTGTGTACAAGGCAGCACAAGTTTCATTTTTTTTTGGTAGTTTCAGAAACGGAACTTCATCAATACTGCAAAGTTCTCTGCAATCAATTTGATTTTTCTTAAGGTCCACAAGATTGGTACTGTGCTAAAGATATTTAAAGGTTAAGACTCTCTGGTTTGAAAGAATTTTAAGAATGGGACGTGGAATTTTAGAGAGGTTGCCGTAAATATGTAACCAAATACTTTCTTTTTCATAAATCACTTAATGCCTAAAGGCTCTTGTTGCCTAAATCCAGGGTGTCCAGTTATTTAAAGCATTCATAACAGCAAAGTCATTTGAGTTGCACGAAGGCAAATGTTAGGTGCATGCGGCATCTGGGCCCTATAAGAGGATGGTCCCAGACAACTTTTCATTTTAGGTTCTCATGAAAGAAAACACATTAGTTTTGTGTTCGTGGTTGTAATTGTAATTTAAAAATTTCATGTCCAGGTGAACCTGTGCGTCCAATTGATACCTCAGCATGGGTACAACACACCACAGCAATGACTCGTAAGTATACATCAGCCTTTTTTAAAAGGTCATCTATTTAACTTGTAGTATTGCATATTGTTATGATTTCAAGATGTACTGTTGTTAAAAACATTTTCAATTACTTATTCTAGAGTTTGGACCAACTGCACAATATGGAAAACAACCAAACAGTCAGTCACTCACAACAATGACATCAACCAGCTCATCAATGACAAGTTCTCTACCGGAATCAGACAGTGAGTTGCTATGTGGGACACTTAATCCCAATTTCTTATTTCCTCAGATAATAACTGAGAAAAATTTTCCCATTGAGTGTGAAACAATATATGAAACAGATGTAGTTAGTGAGTAACTAGGTGTATGAGAGAGTGATTATCGACCTAGTCTGTTTAAATTTAGTCCATTCAGTGTCATTGGAGTGCAGTTGACTTTATTTAGCTCTTCTTTTCACATCCTGTTATAGGATATACTGAACTTCAAGAAGGTGAAGGACTCTCAGTAACCTCAGACATGACCTTGATAGTTAAAACAATGGCAGCTCCAGAATCTGGCCTTGATATCAGAGACAGAATGTGGCTCAAGATTACCATCCCCAATGCATTTATAGGTAATTGTAGCGAGAAAAAATGCGCTGCAGCCATCAATGTCACTTAGTTGACTGTTTTGACTTAATACCAAGAACTCATAATAAAAGTGTTGATTTCAGTATGGGTACTGACATTATTTCAAGTGCAACTTGGGTTTAAAAAGCATGAGTAAATTTTTTAAAGGCAACAAAATTGCACGAGCCTGTAAGTGCAATATGTCGTCTTTAAACATTTACAAGTGCGTGTTACATGAAATTTTAAGAGAAAACGTGTTATTACTTGTTAATAACGTACATGAAAATATATCACAGAAAGTTAAGAAAGACAGAATTTTGAAGGCGTGTGTGCGCTATTTGAGAAGAAACTCATTTTTAGCCAATCAGAAGGGCGTAATTTTTTCATGTACATTATTAAGTGTTATTTTCTTTTGCATCACAGGATCTGATGTGGTAGACTGGCTGTATTCACATGTAGAAGGTTTTCAAGACAGACGCGAAGCAAGAAAATATGCTTGCAATCTTTTGAAGGTAAATGCCCTTTTCGAACTTGTGTGCCATGTACTCAGACTAAATCGTTCCTTGCTGCTGCTGCTGTCTTTTTTTTTGGTTTTTTGATTTTTTTTTATTTTTGTGATGTTTTATTTGCATCTCACATTTGTCTGTATTTGGTTGTTTATCAGGCTGGTTTCATTCGACACACAGTTAACAAGATTACTTTCTCAGAGCAGTGCTATTATGTGTTTGGCGATCTTTGTGGAAGTAAGTCTTAATTTCTCCTGTTGCCCCCACGTAATTTGGTAGAGGGTTTGGGGAGCTGACGGCTCCTCTTTGTTTTTATTGTAGATGTTATTATCTTGGGTCAACTAGGACAAATTTCCCTTTTGCTCTGTTGCTATCGAATGACTGAAATACTTTGTAAAATGACAAGGCTTGAAGAAAGATGTTATTCATCTTAGGACGAGCGTGCGATGAAAACGAGGCTTCTTCAACATGGAGTTGAGAATGTTTACTTTTTGAAACGGGGTTTTTCTTAAATCCGGCCCTGGCAATTCCACTTCTCCCGGCCCTCAGTCAGGGGAGACGAGCGTATAAGTGGGCGCGAAAAAATAGCATTCACGAGATAATCGGATGCACGAAGAGAAATACAACCGCCGGGTCTGTTGCCGTTTACTGACTGTGATTTCGCTCGTCTTAAGTCACTCAGATCCTGCCCAGACTTCATATCCACTGGAATTTGTTTTTAAGTGTTTACTTTGGGTTTCAGTTTCCATCATTCCAATAATTTCTGCTATGTGTTTTGTGTTGATAGATATGGCGGCTCTTACGATCAACGAACATGAGGGCGATGGCGACCAAGACACTTTGGGACCCCTCCCAACACATCAAGCTATTTCGTGGATAGCAGGTCCACCAAGTTACGGATATCATCAAATGCCTTCTTACCCGGGCCCTCCTCCTCAAGCCATAGTGGACACACAGACACCTGGGTACGCCCAGTCATTCTACAGCGCACACAGTGGCAGCCAAAGTCCCCACAGCGCTAGTGGCAGCTCACGGAAGAGCGGAGGAGGAGGCGACCGCGCTGATGGTGACCATCGGAGTAGTGGTGGAAGCAGTAGCGAGAAGAGCAGTAGCAGCAAAGGTAAAAGCAAGGAGCGTGAGGCTCGAAGCGTCGAAGGATCAGCTCAGCTCGTTCAAGGACCTCCCCCTGCGGGAGTTCCCATGCCCGGAGGTCCCCCAATGCCAGGTATTGCTATGATGCCCCGGCCTCTTGATCAGGTTCCCGAGAACATTTCAGCGAGTAGGAACAGTTTTAGAATGGCGATGGGTAATCCTTGTGAGTTCTTTGTAGATGTGATGTAAACAGTAGACAGATGTCATCCGCCTATCACAAGCTACTGGACTTACTGGTGAGCTTTACTAACAGACGGCTCTGAGGGCAGCTCCCGAAACAGCTTAGCGCCTGGCTGACGATGCGCGTTGTCGCCATATTCGCTCTGTTGACTTCACAAGTTGCAAACAGACTGACGTTTTTGTTTCTAGTGTATCAGTTGAACAGAGTTACACAGGTTATCGAGATTTACGCGCGGTGCCTATTGCTGACCAAGTTGATCGTCGCACTGGTGAATTTGCCAGAATTTTCGGAGCCAAGACGTTAATAATCATTGTTAGTTATAACTTGCATTTGTACATAGTGTGGAAATTGGTGCTTTCGAGAGGTTAGGTCTGTACAGAAATCCAGCTTGAGTTATTTTATTGGCAAAGAGAACTTCATTTTTATTGTAGTCTTTACAAGTCAATTTGACGCGCGATTTCATTTTGCGCCCAAAATTGTAATTTATAATTCTCAGTCTCCAGCACATACGGTATTGATCTCAGGCCAGTTTTATCCTCTGTGACAAATAAAGCTCGTTCGGTTTCGCCTGAAGAATATAATAGTTGGGTTGTCATTGTAGCACAACAGTACATGGATATCTGTTAACGATTTCTCGTGTTCCTTGCCTCGCACGTGTGATTTCAAAGTTAAATATTCTTGACAGGTCATCTAATTTTTATTTTTTTCGTAAACTAAGCGTGCTTTAGTTGCTTGAATAACAAGTGCGAGACAGATACTTACCATAGAATGTATAAATCAATTATTCTTGAATGAAGCAATTTTATTGAGCGCAGTTTTGCACTATCAAAAGAACAGTGGGATGTTATCTTACTCTTATTAGGAGATAAATATCTTTTGCCAACAACCAAATAAAGAATACAGTATGACACGAGATGTGGACTCAATATTGTTGTTTCTTCAATTTGGGTGTCGTTGAAAGTATCCTCACCATAACATTTTCGACGCGTTCTTCAGGAGAGCTTGATAGCGGAATTTTTACCCGAGAAGAGAATTGACACCTGATTCGATCCTTTATACACCACCCCTAAAATTTTTGTTCAGGAAGACTTAAAACACCTTTTTTTCGAAGGGGAAGGTGGGGCAATCAAAATATACTTTAGGAAATGGAAGCGGGGGGGAAGGCAATCAAATTGTACTTGTGGGGAATTGGGGGGCGGAGGGTGGGGCAATTAAAATGTACTTTGGGGAGCACTTGGTTAAAGGCGAATCGAGGCTAAACATGAGTTCCCTTAATCCCTAAGTTTCAGAATGAGTCCAGATGCACGTTCTTGCCTAAAATGCCCTTTTCTATGGCCTCATCTTGAAAGTGAGGGTTTTAAAAACTCAGAGATGACCAAATAGTCATTTTCCAACAATGGCTTCACGCTTGCCTACGTTAACGAACAGCGGCCTGAGAAATCTCAGAAACGATTAATTTCTCCCGTTCGTTACCTGAAAATTATCACGGCAGAAAACCGTCAGAAAAGAAAATCCTAGGGATGCTTCGCTTACAGACAATACAGGCACAGGAAGTAGAAAAATAAGACTTGACAAAGACATCCTTTCATCTTTAATTTCCATTTTTAGATGAAATATCTTGAACTCTGAAGGATAGTCAATAGTTTACCATTCATGACCATCTCTTACTGATTGAGGCTTTCAGTTGTAAAAAATTCAAAATCATAGACTGTTACGCCACTTGACGTGTAATGGGACTTTCTGACCGGTTCCGGCCCCATGTACAAAATGTCTTTTAGCTTAATTAGAAAATAACATCTTCAAATATTTTAGTTTCTCAAAAAATACTTTTTCAGATGGCAGCATTATGCCGATTATGATACCAACGAGAACAACCTAATTTAGAATCACTTTTTACTGACTCCAGCAAAAATTCAATCAACAGTTTGGTGGTGCCAACATTTTGGCCATGTAACTAAAGGAATACTCATAAAAATTATCTATTTGCACTCCACTGTTAATTCATCAGACAAATTAACGTCTTGATGTAATCAAGATGTATTTTCTATTACGGGGTTTCATATAGTAAAGACGAACTTTAAAACAAGTTCTGGCTTACAAAATATTCAACTAGGAGAGAGTGGGGGGAGGATTTTGGGTTTGCGGCTCCTTCATTTTAAACTACAACATCTTCAATGAACGAAGAACACAAAACAACTTTTAGCCAGCCTTGCAGCCTGCATTAACTCTGTTACTCAATTTTCTTTAAGACTTTCTGAACCAATCACCCTCGAGGGCTACTTCTAATAAAGAAAAGGGAGACGAGTTTACCCTGAGGAATTTGTGATCAAATGTGTGGGCTCAGCAGGGGGGGGGAGATCTATCATAAAGGCTAACATGATCCTATCAAAATATACCTGAAGATAATAATAGTAGTAGTAACGATAATGATAATGATAATGATAATATCAATAATGATAAGAATAAAAGTAAGAATAGTAGTAATAGTTAAAAGCTCTGATTGTTGGCGATTCAAAAGTCTCTTACAAACCCTGACCGCGGGAAATACATCGTCTCTTTAAATAATCTCCACATAATTTACACCTTGAATCCTAAGTGTTCATAATTTAGCAACAACTCGCAAAAAATTGTTTTAAGCTATTTTTAATGCTATGTTGGCTCAATATTTATAAGCAGAGCGGTCAAGACTACAGAGCCTTGGTTCTCTAAATACCATTCCAGATTTTCTGTGCCAAGATTTTCATCGAGCAGCTCGTTTGCGTCAACATCACGGTGACTCCGACCTGTTCTGTAATTACCAGGCTTCACGAGAACTTGTAAAGCCACTCGGACATGATAGACTTTTCCTGTTGTACTATCTCTGTATCTGTAACACGACGGAAAGAATAAAAATAAACAAACAATATTAACTCGTTATTGACAGTCACATCAAGGTAATTACAGGTAAAAATATTCCTAGGAGACGAGAAAAAGTAGCCGAAGATAGGCGCTGCATCGACTGGTCACGGAATTCACCAAGCGCCGCGACGCTCAGTAAAGTTAATGCAATATCCTATTAGGCGTGAGAAAAAAGCAAAAACAAATTACGTGCGGCATTGACTAGTAGAAAAACATTGTTGAAGTAAAAAGCGCCGCCGCGCTATTTCAACCAAATGCGGTTTTTGGAAACATATTATTGAAGTAATTGGTAAAAGTTCAACTCTCCCATCAAAAACATCACGAACACCATATTTTCCACTAAGTTGTTACCCATTGTTAAGACTGCCATTGTGCTTGGCAACGAATATCATCACTGATATCAGTTACTTACTCCTGTCTTTTAGCTTGGGCTTCGTACGCGCAAAGGATTGTGGGTGACACACAGAGCTGGGGGACTTCATTTTCTTTGTTTGATGAGCCCCTCCGCCGCTGACCACTACAGACTGACAAATATAAGACAAGTATCGGTAAAACCTACATTTGTCCAAACGATAAAATTATAGTTAGTTAGAAGAACAGTGCTGTTTACCTTGCAGTGGAATATCACCAAGATCAAGCATTCTTCTAAGTCGACCAATAGGAGTTCCGTAAAATGCCACGTGCCATTTGTCGAACACGTGATATTCTTCGACTCGTGGAGGAATTCTAAACGAGATAAAAAAATGTACATGATAATTTTTCAGATCTTAGACCCACATCTAAGAGAGCAGGTCTGAAAGGAAAGTTACGAAAGAATTGAAACGTATGGTTCGAATCGGCGCATGCTCACCTTAGCGCAAACTGACACCATCCCAAAGGTAGCGCATACCGACAAGGTGGGTCACCGCTGATAGCATAACGTTTTTCACCTCGGGCTTCGTGGCACGCCTGGCAATAGCAGACGTTGGATTTGCAGTCTGTATTAAAATATTCATCTGTGGATTGCAGTAAAATATACATGAAACGAGTTCAAGTACCATCATAGCGCCAACAATGAAATTTTCCATTGAACGAAAATCCTGCTTTGTTAAAACAAGAAACAAAACTGAAGTAATGCTGTACTTTTCAATGAAAAGGATACACATACTTGCATTGGTAACTCAATAATCGAGAACCCAAAAAAATAAGTTCAGTTAACCCATTTAAACCTCTAGAGCAACCAGCATCTGATTTTTCCGTACACTAAAACTTTTGAATCAGTCACTAAGATCACGAGAACAATAGAAATGGTCGCCAACCTAAGAAGCTTTGATTGCTAAATGAATTCTCCTTGTTAGTACAAAAAGATGTATAAAGTTAAGAGTATGGAGAATATAAATACTGATGCCAGGGTGTCAAGGGTTGACAACTAGATACGAGCCCAAATTTCTTATGTCCGTTTGCCTTACTCGACCCTTTAGGCAGTTTTGGAGTAATTCTCACCTGGTATTGCCAAACTAGCACGGAATCGATCACAAAGCTGTCTGTAATCACACGGGCCTTTACTATGTTCACCTGGAAACGCATGAAACAGCAAGAAGGCAATCATTTTATTGTAAGGAAACAAAGACAACGGCAAAAAACAATCAATATTTTTTAATGAAGAGGCAGGCGTCCGCAGAAATAGTAAGACTGACAAAAAATTACGTCCTTAATTACCCGAGCTTCTCTCAATCTTGGTTTCCTCCATAGAAACACGCCCGCGTTCACCATGATCAGCAGTTACGATAGACACTTCCTCGCAGCAACCATACAAGTCCAGCACTGCAAATCGTCTGGCGGGGATGGCCTGGGCAATCGGCCCCAGGTCCTCTCCGTTAATAAGCAGGTGCAACCTGCTTTTCTTATCGATCAAAACTCCAAGGGTATCTCCTTCCTGAAGACTGTCAAGACTTCGCCGTAGATTGTCGTTTACCTACGAAACGAAAATACAAACAACATAAAACCGCATTCATAAAGTAGGAAGACAGAGGTCGAAGAAACTACGTTAGCGAGGGACAACATTTTAACTACCCCACCATAGCACGGTTTCTTACCTTGTTCCCGTTAACATACACTGCGTTATTGACAACAATCCAAGGACAGATCTTGATGCTGTTAGCCGTGCTTGGAAGGCTGGTGAGGGAGTCTGGGTCCTGAGCCGTGACGCCGATCATAACAGAGCCAGTCCAGCGGCTATTCAACTTTCTGATACATACCTAGTGTCAAAAGAGGTAATATTAAGGGCTAAGTATAATTTAATCATGCATTATTTCAGTCGTGGAATGTGGAGCTTAAAGTTCAAGTGTGCCATTTGGGATCTGATTTAGTATCTTCCATTCCTTAACTGGCCTTGTTCCTGTATGGTGAATTCTTACTCTTTGAGAGTTTGTACTCTCTAGCAATAATAACAAAGATGCAGTTATATAGCGCACTCTCCTTATATATGTGCACTGATGCGCTTTAAAACACTTTGTGGGAAACTTCAGCCAGACTGCATTAGATAGTTTACGATTTTTTGAAAGCAAATTTTGCAGGTGCCCTTAACTTTGGAATATTTTGGAAACAAGGACAGACTACACCACTGGGAGATACGTTCCCTGTTCGTTAATTAACGTTCCCTACTAACCAGTAGAGAGAAGATACAGGAGACGGGGCATACCAGGCTTGAGGTGCTTATCCGAGAAAGGAGGAACGTCTAATCATTTGCAGATTCATGGCAAAGGCAGCACATTCTCCACTGTTACATTAAGACCCTAGGGTGTTAGTTCGGTCTCAGACCCCAGGCTGGGCTCGAACCCCACCCATCCCATCCCTCCCCTACCTCGCCGTAAAGAAGCAAGGATCTAGCGTTGAGTGGGAAAAACAGAAATGGGCAGAAAAAGCAGGAAAAAGTGAAACCGGCGGAGAGTAGGTGGAAAATAATGAATAGAATCCCTTGATTTGTTGTTTGGTTAGTCAAGGCGAGGATAAAGATAGAAGATAAAGTGTTACACAGACCTGAAATAAGTGGTTATCTGGTAGAGGTGTTTCACTCAACACTACTCCATGATTGTAACTGTCAACTCTTCTCGCTGTTGTTCGGTTACTATCCAGTGAAATGAATTGACCGCAGTTTTTATGGAAAAGAAATCTGCCGGAAAAATAATAAACTGAATATTTAGTACAACACTCTTTAGTAGATTTATACAGTGGATAGCGTTGAAGGTGCGTTCTGATTGCCTACTCAAATTACGAATATCTTTTGCTATTAACCTCCGAGCATTTGCGCGCAGGATTTGCGTCAGATAATGTTGTAATCGTTGCAGGAATAAAATAGTTAAAATCAAGTTTTTGTGCTATATTATTTATTATACTAAGACAACTATTCACATTTGGAAAGAGTGTTTAGACCAACTTTTCCAGGGTACCCACGGGAAATCTACATTACACGACAAGAGCAAGTTGTTTTAGTATATACTAAACCAACTTTTTATATCTGGAAAGAATGTTTAGCCCAACCTTTCCAGGGTACCCACGAGAAATCTACATTACGCGACAAGAGCAAGTTGGCGACAGCGACATGTTCACAGGGTAACCACTTACTTTTTAAATATTTTTATTGCCTCTCTTGTATCTTCTTCGACTTGATCTGATGTCTGGAAAACATACGCGAGGCCAAAAAAAGATGAATGTGACAACCTTATCTTTACACTTTCACATCAGTATGCATATTCTCCATACTACTGAGAGGGAGAGTTTGTTTGACAATCAAAAGCTTCATGGTTGGTGATCATTTCCTTCATTCTCCTCAAACTAATGAGTGATTTGGGTGTGGTTTTGTAAGGAGAAATTAGATTCTAGTCACTCTTGGGGGTCAAAGGGTCAGGAAGAATGTGTCAGTTTTTAAGCCCCACACTACTACTCCCAAAACTGAGATTTCATTATACGGCTCCAGGCCCCTAATATTACCGGAACTTTCGCGTAACGGACCCCTGTATCAACAAGGTATAATAAGCATATCCCAGTTATTCCTGCCACGTGGTATAAAATCCCCTCCCCCCAACCCCTATTAATAACGGCTGTAGTCAAATTTACTGTCTTACCTCGATGTCAGGAGAAACGGACGATTGTGGTTCGCCATCCACCAGTTCACTGGCAGGCAAAGCTCGATCGACTGAAAGGAGAGAAATTTTGGTAAAGATCCGGGTATTCAAACAAACCTCAGTACCAAGAAAACTTTAAACTTAAATCTAAACATAAATGAAAATATTGGTGAATGAAAAAGATTATCAGACTAATTCTCAATCTCGGACAACCTATAGAACGGATCAATGTCAGTATCTGAGCAGCTGCGCACCTACCCCTCCCTAAATCCAACATTAACCCTAACCTTTTTTTATCAGTTGAGTGTTGTTGGGTTAAGGAAGGGGTAGGTGTGCAGTTATTCGCATACTGATATAAATCCATAAGAACATACCGGTAGTCGGACTCGATATAGAGATAAGTTGCGCCATGCCATAGACATCAACTACTGCATGAACAATCTGAAAGAAAATCATTACATAGCTTATCACCTAAACAAATCGTGTTCGATCCTCAAGTTGCATGCTTTTACATTTATATCATCCCTCTGTATGGCCAATAAAAAGCGACGTTAGTATCAAACGGCTGAGAACGTCTGATAATCACGTGCTGATCACATGCTGGTGACATACGAGTGGGTTTGTTTCTTTTTGGACAGACTGACATGCTAACAAACCAATCATAAAAGTACCAAGTGGTAATAAAACCATCTTCCTAAGCCAAGTCAGTGATGCTTCGTACATAAACTTACCTGAGGAACATCCACAGCTGCGACTCCTTGATCCTCCCCATTTACGAACACATGAAAAGTCCCATCTCTTCGCCTTTGCATTCCTATTCTTGTCTCAGCCTGTGGCGTAAGTTTTACATAAGCTTAAGAACGCTCTCAGCTTCGAAGTTACCATAAAAATTATAGAAACGAGTTCCTCAAAGGAACTTAATACTCAGAGCTAAGAAGCAAGGCGCAAATAGGGAAATCATCAAGATTTTGGGACCCTCTTGTACGAGGGTTATACCTGAATTACACTTGCAAATTTTTTAGTTCTTACTTATGATGTATTGGAGGAAAGGCAGATAGTTTTGCCTCTTTATTACATAAAACATCGAAAAAGATTCCATATTGTCGTGGGTCTGTTCAGTGATAGATCACAGATGACGTCAAAATGTGGTAAGATCGTCATAGACATCAGGCTGCCCCTTGTGCGCCACTTTTTTTGTTCCTACCACATGTGTGGCGTCATGTGTGATGTTTTAATGAATAGACCCACCGCATCATGGAATCGAATTGTTCGCCTGATGATTTTCGAAAGGAAAAAAAAAAAGAAATACGTGGCCACTTCGCGGTTCATCTGGCTCGTTCACCATAAGTGAGTGTCAGTTTGCAACAGTTCAGCTGAAACATACCTGTAGTCTGTCCAAACTGTGTCCATAGTTCTCTTTTACAATCGCACTGTCTTTCATGACACAGGAGCCGGTCATCAGCCAAGTCCCATCTCGCAGGTCTAGTGCTGAGGCAGGAACAGTCACTAGCGGTATGGTTTTTGTTGTGATACCAACTGTTAAAGATCCTGACCAGTCATTACCTGTAACTTTGTCGATGACAATCTGTGAAGTAAAAGATCAGTCAAAGCCCCTTTACATAGGCAACTTCCCGCACAGCTGGGGTTTCCAAAAGCGGTTACCGGCGGTAAAATAGGCGGCTGTGCCAGGAAAGAGGTCTTACAGGTGTCGGTATACTGCCAGTAACTAGCTTTTATTGAGACCCTGCGCTTACATACCCTCTGGGGACAGACATTGCTTCCAAGTGGACACCTAACAGGAAAGACAGTTATCATGGACAGGCATACATTTGTCACGAGTGAGTACCTCTTGTCGACATACATCAATAGTTGAAATGCAGTCATTTCACACAACTCCATCATGCTATTGGTTTTCTCGAGAGACAACTGCACGTACAAATTTACCACGAACTAATACTGATGCTTGTGGGGGCGGGGAGCACAGGCTACTCAACGTAATCACAGGCACACCAAACATTATCACTGACTAACTAGCACACAACACATAATAACTGCTTTGTGTCTGTTACCTCAAATATTTCATCTTCTTCCAAAGGTTTTGCACTGAACACCAGACCTTGATTAAATCCACTGCATCTATACGCAGTCATTTTATTGTTCACAAGTCGAATGTTTCTTCCACAACAGGAATGAAATCCGCATGTCACTTTACCTGGTCAAGATCAGGTCACACAACGAGTCAAAAGTAGATAAAGCAGTCCTTGGTTGATCTATCGTGGAGTTCTCATTGAAGAAAAATAATTTTGAAATGGTTTTCGAAAGTAGACCAAGATTGCATTGGTATTGCGTTCCTTCACTTAATGGAGCGTAGTTCGATTAACTGATGTAAAACGAAAACTTAAGTATTTACGACAGCCAATCAGAAGAAAGGAAAATACTTTTAAGAGCCAATGAGAACTCAGAGTAAAAACAACCACTCTACCAAGAGCGCGGGAAAACGCGGGTGACCAAGTCGTGGTTGGCTTTAATTTTGCATCTGATTGGTTGAGAGAATGGCGCGAGTTTTCTGGACCAATCACAGCGAAGTAAGGCAAAACCAATGCAATCTGGGATAAATTTCGTAATGGTAACTAAACGCAGGCAGTTATCTTGCCGTTGGCCTCCAACACAAATTTTTTTTTTCAATTTCCATTTATACACGAAACCTTCTTAACCAACAAATTGCAAACTAAAAGTAATTTCGAATTTGTCACTTGCTATCCCACCCTTCAAACCGTTTGCTAGTTTTAATTTGAGTTCTGGCTCCTAATGACATTCTCCTTTGTTCCGATCGGCCATTGTGATTGCTGTTTTAGTCTTTTACCATGCTCAGTCAAAATGCACCAATGGAAATTTAACGTGGACATACTTGCTGGCCCTTCTGTAATTATAGGGCTGGCCTCTGTCTCTCTCTGTTCAGCAGGGACTGGAATCGTCTCTTGAGATTCAGTGTAATCTGCATCATATATAGAGATCTGGACGCACTGGCCATACAGGTCAATCATAGCATAGATTCCTGTCGGGAAACGCAGGAAAGTTAGTTTCGTTTGCTTAACCTTATAGTAAATGATTTGAGCCGAGGAGTAACAGTTGCATATCTGTTGTGATCGCTCGGTAAACCATGGCAGTAGAAGATGCCAAGCGTCTTATTTGTAGCGCCATCTTTGAGCTGCCTCACTTGAAAATTCAGCCGCCAGTCATACTACCTAGCTATAACCTTGTCTCTACTGGGTAGCTTCCTGTTACGAGACTCTTTCAACACCGCGTTCATTACCTGATGGAACACTAGAAGCAGCAACTCCACAGTCTTGCCCATTGACAAAGAAATGTAGTGATCCACTCGATTTACGCATTATTCCAAGACGGGACCCTTCCTCTAATTTGTCCAAGTCACAGGCATACCCATTCATGGATGTGCTACCATTCTGTAGCACAGACGATCCAGACACCATCCATGCCCCACTAACAAGGTCAGTCATGGTATGAGGGAACTTGAGCTGATCAGGAGAGACTGTAGTTACTCCTGTTCAAACAAAATAACCACAAAAAAGTCAAACTTGGTAAAAAAAAAGGCAATCACACTGCAGAAATTAACTCATATGGCTCATTTTTATGGTACTTGAAGAAAGCAGTATTTTTGGTAAAGCGCGTGGGCCACAAATCCGAGCGAGAAAAAAAGAAAAAAAACCGAGGTTCTATAACTTGCAGTGCGGACCAAGAAAACGAGGTTAGGAAGATGCTTACTTTATATCTGGGTTCAAATAAAGGGGGGACATCTCAATTCAAACAAACTTTTGAATTAGCAGGCCGTACAGTGAAATACAGCCCTCTAAATTGACCAATCATAGCGCCCGTATCAACTGAGAGATGTAATAAGTTGAGTATGCTACGTCGGTGGGAAAGTATAACAAGGTAATTTGGTATTATCAACTGAGTTGATAACGTACATTGGTCCTTCGTCAGAGCGAATTATTCGTGAAGGGCTAACGCTCGAAACATGCGCCCGACACTGCCTTTTTTTCCATTACAAATTCATGGTTTTGGTAGAATTAAATTTTAAAATCAAATTAGGAATCTTCATTAATGTGAACCACTCTAATCTCTAATTTTTTTGCTTGCCATGAGCAATGGGATTTGATATTTTTCCCTACTCACTTTGAAAGCACTAGGTAAGAACTACAATGTCTGAGGCTGTGTAGTGCAAATGTAATTTCTTCGTGACATTTACATAGCCGAGAAAACTTCAAGTTTCCTTTTCCTCCGGGCTTTACACTTGTGCAATCTTATGACACAAATGCCTAAAATGGAGGTTAAGCCTTGAAAAACCAAGAAACAATTTCACTGACTGAGAAAAGAGGAGGATGGTTTTTTCGTAAGATGTTAAAGTTCTCCTTCCTTCTAAAAAAATATATATTTCTGTTCATTCTAGAATAGGTAATAACATGATTTCGAGCGCAATTTGGTGTTAATAAGCACGAGTAAATTTTTCAAAGACAACAAAATTGCATGAGCTCGTAGTATAATTTACACGAAAAAAACCCACAGAAAAGGAAGACAGACGAAAGTGTGAAAGGCCGTTTTTATGCTAGAGACGTTAAAGTTGTCTAAGACGTTAAAGTCGTCTTGAGACGACTTTAACGTCTTAGACAACTTTAACGTCTCTAGCTTAAATGCATCTAAAGCACGGGCGCGCTATTTGCAATTTGCACTCGTGTTACAACTTTGCCATCGTGTTACATGAGAAGGCACTCGTTTTCAGCCAATCAGCAGCGCGTAATTTTTTCATGAACATTATTATGAACGTATACAAAACCTGCTTCCATCGAGCCAGACCATCGACTCACAAGCTTTTCCACAATAACTTCAAACAGCTCGTTGTCTCTTAAAGGCCTGTGGCTCATCACAATAGCATTGTTAAATTCACACAGCGGATTAATGCGAACTGCACTACGACAGTTGTGACTGACAGCTACTTGTCCGCCATGAAAAGAACTGAATTTAAAAAAACCCTCATTCGATTCTGCCATGATTTCCTGCGATGGAGGTGACTCTACAGGTTGTTGTGGTTCTGGTGCAATAATAGTTATTTCCGAAACGTCTGCAACACAAATGTATGAGAAATAAATGAATCATTCGACAAAATTTCACAACAATAGTTCGAAATTACAGCGGGCGTATTGCTCTTGTAATCCAAGCTTTTCAAGTCAATTCACTAAGCTTGGTCAAGTGCCGAAAATCAAGTTAGATTGGTCTAAGTGACTGAGGCAGCAAGCACCAAGGTAATTACATTTATATTAAATTTACTTATTTTATCCCGCCCTTTTTAACATTATTTTTGCAGTTTTATTTTCATTATTTAAAAATTGTGAAATGAAAGTTTGTTGAGAGCAAATTGTACGCAACATCGTTTTTCCTTACTTAATTTCATAAATTTTACATTCCTTTTTAGCGACTTTAAAAGCGTATGGATTTAAATTGTATTGTGCTATTTTATTTATTCATTTGTAATTTAATTGCACCCGTTATCTTAATTCTCTCAGTGTCTAATTAAGATTTACTTTCCATTGAGTCAATAAAACATCAGTTCTGTGAACATGTTGTGACTCGATTCACTGGAGCAATACATGTAGGCTGTGATAGCAAAAGAATTCTCTGGGTTCTTACCATTCAGTGAGTTTGTTAAATCAACCTCTCCATTTTCCTGAGTCCCAGAGACAATAGTCACTTGAGCACATTGACCAAACAAGTCAACTACTCCATAAACATCAGCTGGCACACCATGTGCTGCGCAACCAAGATCAGTGCTATTTACAAAGAAGTGTAATGAGCCATCTTCTTTGCGTATCACTCCAACTGTATCACCAACCTGTTAGGGTCATAACAAAATGACTGAAAATGAAATCTTAGAAATAGAAGCGTTTTTCATCCAGTAATCACCTTTCACCTCAGTGAAAGCGAACGTTTAAGCCCTTTCATTAACTGCTAGAAGTGATTAACATGCAACTTTTCCCTAAAAATATCCATACATTATCCAGCAAACAGTTAATGAGAAAGCTCAAAGTTATCAAGTCGTTCTCTTGATCTAACACCTAATTCTTGTAGTATATCTACAAGGAAATGTGTAGCACCTAGAGGGGAGAATTAACAATCAGATCTTGGGAGTTAAAGGTTAAATTTTATTATGACATTTAGCAAAATAGTTCATGGCCTGATTTCATGGCCTAAATATCTCCTAACATTCCACAAGTTTCAGTTTCTGCCATTTTCATTAAGAAAGCAAGAAAGTGAAATAACAGTTCAGTAGCACTTCCTTTAAAAAAAATAGAATACTGCCATTCCAAATGCTTAAAACTTTAACTCTCTTATGAGTGACCAAGACAAAATTTCTCCTTACAATATCAATACAATATCAATCAGACAAGGGATGGAAATAAAGAAAAATAACAATTTTATCCAATACCAATTTCTCCAAACTAGCATCATAAGAGTTGCATGGCAGACAGTAAGGAGAATTGCCTATGTGATCTTACATGTGAAAGAGTTAAGTTAAATGAGAGGAATTTCCTACAGGAGGACATGACTTTATTTCTTTGACATGCTTTTATAATAATGTTTACCTGAGACAAAGTTCTGCATTGTATCAAATTTTAAAAACTGAAAGTAGTGAAGCCCAATGTAGAATGGATGATTTCTTAGAATTAAAATCATGTTTTACCTACAAAGAGAGTCTTGTTTACATCATCTTCCAAAGGAGTCGGTTCAACGCCAAACTCAACTTTTCATCGCAGATCTTTTTTTCTTTCTTTTCACAATTCAACAACAGATTAAAACAGTAAAAAATGAAGACCAATGCATTTCTACCTTGATTTCATCCAGTGTTGGACCATAGTTTTCAATGACAGTAACACCATCGCACACAATGCTCCCCCCTGACATCATCCAGGTACCAGGTGGCTGTACATTAGTCATTGTTGTAGGAAAATCTAATTTTTCAGGATCATGGGTGGTGACTCCAATCTCAAGAGACCCTGCCCACTTTGTCATTTGTATATCGACTCGCACCTCGAGGAGTTCATTGGGTTTCAAGTACCGACTTGTTAAAACAACAGCATTATTGAATTCTTCGCTGGCTCTGAAGGTGTCAGAGAGAAAAGCAAACAAACTTTATTGCAGTTACCCAAAGCTATAAAATAAAAAGCTTTATGCACCCATCAGTGGTTTACCCCAGAATGGGTAGGGGGTATAGACCAGGGGAATTTGACATTTTCAGGTCCTATTCTTGGGTATCAATTGTATGTCAAAGTTCTAACCCTGGAGACCAAAGACATTGTATACCAATTTCATTACACAAATTTCGTTAGGTGACTTCCAAGCAGACACTCATTTCCCCCCCCCCCCCCCCCATCCCATCCTAGGGTAAACCATTAATAGGTAAATGAAAAGTGGGGGTAAGTTTCTAAAGAAACTGCAGTGCTGCTTCGGTGGGTGAGTATAACTGGGTAATTTAGTGTTATCAAAGGAGTTGAAAACATAAATTGGCCACCGTAAAGAGTTTAAAGGCTGATGTTTCGAGCTTTAGCCTTTTGTCAGAGAGATTGATGAAGAGCTAACACTCAAAACACCAGCCTTTAAACTCTTTACAGTGGCTAATTCACGTTTTCAACTCAGTTGATTACACTAAATTACATTGATAGGTACATTAGCCTGTACTTGAGGGAAGCAGCCCATCTAGTGAGAGATTATCCAGGTTTCTGTCTCATGAAGAAACTATGAGTAATGCTTCTCCCCCTGAAAAATGCTGGTCCATCACATTTTACCCCCCACTTCCAGCATTTCATAAAATATTCCCAACAGATCACCAATACCCATTCATACTCCTGGGTGGAGAGAAGCATTGTGTGATTAGACTGTCTTGATCAGCAACACCACAAAATGACACAGCCAGGTCTCAGACCTGGACCCTTTAACCTGGAGACCAGCATGCTCACTGTTAGGCCACCACATTTCTACACAGAAGGTGATGAGGGTGAAATGAAAGGGAAGGATAGAACCACTTCCACCGCAATCTTTTCACATTTTTAGCTAATGTTTCACCTTCATGCATCAGTTAATTTTGTCCCCCAACACACCTCTACCTTACTACAAATGTGAAGATAAGAATACACACAAAACATACCTTGGTCTGTGAGCACTAAGAAAGCCATTAAACAATGAGACAGAGGAGCCACAGCGAGGATGAAACACAAGTGCATTGCCACTTGCATTGATTACACTTTCATCTGAAGGAGAAGTTAATACACAATCAGCTGTAAATTTGCCTTGTTCCCAACATGCGGCTCTCTTGCCCAGTTGGTAGTGGTGCCCAACAAGGGTTGAGGGGGCACAAGTTCCCATGTCGTGATACCTTTTTCTTTTTTTTGAGCTGTCTCCTTACAATTTCTTTAATCCTTTAACTCCCAGAAGTGATTAAGAAGTAACCTCTCCCTACAATACCCATACACTATCTAGCAAACAGTTAATGAGAATGCTCAAATGTATCAGGTAGAAGTTGTTATCTTGATCTATAATTATTACAATGAAATGTGTAGCAGCTAGAGGGGAGAATTAACAATCAGATCTTGAGAGTTAGAGGGTCAATTGCAGGTCACCTGAAAGGATCATTTGTTTATTTGCCACTGTAAATAACTGGGTTATATTTTTAGAAATCTGAATACTTACTTATTAACTGACCAGAGTCTTGCTCTTGTTCTATATGAGGAGCTGATATAATAGACACTTTGACTGCAGCTCCATAAATATCTACAGCCCCATAAACATTACTAGGCAGATTGCTGGCTGCTTCACCCTGGTCTTGCCCATTGATCAAGAAGTGAAGAGAGCCTGTACTCTTTTTCAAAATTCCAATTGTGTCTCCTGCCTAAGAAGAGATTAAAGACTCTTTTTATAAATTTGATCATAATCATAATCATAATATTGATATTAGTGGACAAGTTGTCAGAGAAAAGGGAGAGGTATATGTCAGTTCCCAAATAGAGACTGAAAAGACGAAAAGCCAATTGCCCCACCTTACTAGATCTATCATCTAGGGGATATCAAATTCTCAGAACTTGAATTATATGATATGTGTGGCAAACAGAAAGGAGAGTTAGTATATAGATCTTAGGAGTAAAAGGGTCAGGGTTCCCCATGAACTATTTACACCCTGGGGAGGGAGAAGTATTGCTCTGTACCCTCAGACATTTTTGGAAGGACAAGGTGCCCTGACAATCTGTGTACTGAACTCTCCATCAATTTGTCTGGATTTGAATCCTGGCTGGGTTATTTTGCTATGTTTATTTGAATTTTGTTGAATTGTTTATCTTTACTTGTTGAATAATCTATGGAGCTTTGCAGTGATTGGTTTGAACCAGGGGGTAATATTTGATTGTGTAGTCTGATTGTCTTGGTCAGGGTAGTCTTGAAGGAATGTCATCAGTAGTGGGGACTGTTTTGACATCCTGAGTAGAAGTCATTATCAGAGTCTTCAGATGACTTCCATGCAGGTTGTCGAAACATCAGTCACCACTATCAACAACGGTCCTTCCCAAGAGTATAACACAATCGAATGCAGTTATACTTCCCCTCTTTTAGGAAAATAAAGCTTACTCCATTTCACCGTAGTACCTGTAGTGTTTCTAAATTGATACTTGAGTAGTCTCTTTTCACTTCCTTGCCATCAACAATAATTGATGCTCCACTCAGCATCCAAGTCCCCGTTGGCATGCTGGTCATGGTCGGTAACAAAACAATATCATCTGGATTGTGACTTGTGACACCAACTTCTATTGAGCCTGCCCATAAATCAGTGACACACTCTAACCGAACCTAGAAAATTTGAAATACATTTGAACTTGTATTAATTAAGCAGCACCACATTACGCAGTCATCTGGTGCTGAGCCATCAGTTGTCAAAGTCCTGAAATTTCCCATTAATTCTTGTAATTTTCACCTCTATTGAGAGGTCATCTCTATTAACCCTTAAACCCCTAAGAGTGACTAGCATCTAATTTCTCCTTACAATATCACCCTTGAATCAAACATTAAGGTACTGAGAATATAGGAAATGATCACCAACTTAAGCAGTTCTTGATTATCAAACAAATTCTCCTTGTCAGCACCATTGGACATGTATGATGAATAGTATGAAGAATATCAATACTGATGTTAGGGGGATAAAGAGCTAAGCAGTGATAGTCACCCTTGACTGAGTCCCAACAGCCTGTTTGTATTATCTCCATCTCTATTGAAGGTTCACTTAAAGCAGAACCTCACAAATAAAACTAAGAATTATTTCTCAAGTAAATTTATTCCATGTTTATCACTCACAACCAATGTTAGTGCTTTGAGTTCAAATGTCCACAGTATAAGCTTAGCTATGTGGGCCTCTTGGCCTGAATACACAATGTTGCTTCAATGCATTCACCCCAATTTCTTTGTTAGGGATAAAAATCAAATTTACTTGATGGCAGGATAGTATAGTTGAATTACTGAAAAAAATCACCTTTAAAACAAAATTTTTTGTCACACTTACTTCAAATGCTTCATCATTTCGTAGTGGTATGTTCGTCAGAGTTACAGCATTCTTAAACTCTTCTGTCGGTCGTTGTCGTTCTGCAGTTCTGTTACTATTAGAGAGTTTTATTAGTGATCCACAATGAGGGTGAAAGCAAACTGATGCTGTTGAAGGACCTGTATTAACAGAAATTTCAGTTAAATGAAGCCCTGATGTGAATTGTGATTCTTCATACTACTAACTATACACTACCTTCTAAAATTTTAGAGAGAAGTTATTGTAATATCAGTAGACAGCCTTCTTCTAAGTTGGTCAATTGGATGATGCACTGTTACCATAGGGAAAACTTAGAACAAGTTATTTATATGAACATAATATTCCCTAAGGGTCTGCTTAACCTTTTTACCCCAAACAGTGACCAGCATCTAATTTCTCTCTGCAATATCACCCCTGAGTCAAACATTAAGGTCACAAGAATAAAAGAAATGGTCACCAGTTAAAGAGGCTCTTGATTGTTTCATAAATTCTTCTCATCAGCACCTTAGGCAATGCATAGAGAACAGTAGGGAGAATATGCCAACTGATATTACACTGTAAAGGGTTAACTCCAGTGATGTTTCTTACATTTATACTTATTATGTTAAAGTATTGCACACAGTTAAGGATGTTTTTAAAGGTATTTTTTTAATTGGTAAGTAATACAATATTGAAGGGAAAGTGATGACCTGACTGAATCATTTACATATTACATGAATTTTCAGCTGATGCCAATATCAACACTGTACCAGTCAAATGATTCTGGTGATGCTACTTTTTTGTAAGAAATATGATTACTACTGGAGTATCTCATCAATAGAATAAAATTCATATTTCTATCGTTTACCAAAAAGTTTTTTTCTTTGTTAAAGAAAGAAGCAGTTGATCACAAAAATCTTGCCACAACAAAAAAGCAATATATAAAATAGTTATAGTGTGGTAACAGTTGATTCCTCTCAAGAGTCTATTTAAATCTTTAATTAGAAACATTACTACAAAAGATACAGGAAAGAAAACCTATATTAAGGGGTTCAATTGAAGACACATCTTTTTATGGCCAAGTAAATATCTGAAGGACTATCTGAGATCAGTAAACAATTAAATATTGCAAGGTTTGATATGCCTAATGAGACCTATAGAAAAAACGTATTCCGTAAGTTCTACATGGCTGGAGTCACTTACCAGATACACGATTGAAAGGTTTGTAAATTGATATCTCAACACATCTTCCGTACAAGTCTACAACAGCAAAAACATTTTGAGGAATATCTGTAGCCGCAACTCCCAAATCAACTCCATTGACAAAGAAATGTAAACTTCCATGGGCTGTCCTTTCAACACCTATCCTGTCTCCCTCTTTGAGCTCGTCGAGGTCTTGACCATATTCTTCCACAAAAGAAGAACCGTCCTTTAGAATAGACATTCCAGACATGACCCAAGAGCCATTTTTTAGGCCCGTTGAACTCGATGGAATTTCCATAACGCTGGGATCGCCGGCTGTCACGCCGATCGCCCAGGATCCTGACCAGTTTCCAATTTTACGGTCCAGTCGTACCTCAAATCGTTCATTGTCCTTCATTGGGCTCTTACTAAATATCAGACCATTATTAAATTCTGCGGCGGAGCTTCGTCTTCGAGCACTGCGGTTACCATTGCTTAAAAATACCAAAGTTCCATGACACTCGTGAAACTCCGCCATGTTTTGTTAACACAAACTTTTTGCTGTTCTCATGGAGTTTACCACTGACCGCAAGAAACGTAAATTTTCTTTCTGACCTCATTATAAAACGTTCTATGGTTGGTTCTGAAGTCTTCACAGTTGATCAACCAATTAAAAAACCCCATAGAGACGCCTAGTTTTTCAACGAGTACTTGGGACTTATCGACTTTTTCACATGTTCCGTATCTTTTCAGAAAATTCCTTCAAGAAACTGGCCTTATTCGTCAGAGTATGGTTGGCACTTTCGGCATCTTGTATGCGCCATATCCTTCCAGAAATTAAACAGCTTTTCTTTCCATTTTCTGATGTCGGATTGTCTTTTAAACAGTTAAATCAACTTTTCCCTTCAAAGATGTTATCATGGCTTCTATTCATCGGAGAGTATCCAAAATCATAAACCAAATTGTCCGATTCTAAACGGAATCGACAGAACTATGACGAAAACGTACGATATAAGACTGTGCCCTCGGGAATCGAGCAACGTCCAAGAACTGTTAGCATAATACAGAGATCTGAAATCTAGCATTCATATCGCCTGTTCATAATGTTGGACAGTAACGTGTACCGAGCCCTTTCATTTCTATTGACAAATCTGGAAAATGCTCCAATGCTCTTCATGTCTTTTTTTGTCGTGAAGATTCTATGTGAGATCAAATGTAGCCGCTCTATTTCTCTTGCCAATTAAAACACGGTCAGGTTCACAGGGTGATAAGCAGAAAAACCAATGATGTATACGTGTTGTAGGACTTTTACGAGACCGAATCAGCTCGTGGAAAGGAGCCACCCTTAACACTAATTCCTTACAAGGCTTCCTCGCGTGTCTGCTCGTTCGCGCGCACCGCTCAGAATTACTCATCCGATTAATCAGAATTTGTTGCTCAGTCTAAAAGTTTTATTTTTCCATGCAATTGGTCCTTCTATGCCGGATATTTCAGTGCTGTGTTTTACTTGTGGCGCTCTCCTATTTGCCTATGACAAATTTCTGCGTTGCTTTTACTTTTTCGTGTGTTGTAGAGCGCTTTTTGATTGAGCGTCGTAAAACCAAAGCCAAAGGAATCACAATGGCCAATCAGAACAGAAGGAATTAATATCTTAAGAGGCGACAGGAATAAAATATAAAACCGGCCAAACAACTCAAAGTACTTAAAAACGCGGGCGACCGTAAAGTCATGATTAGTTTTAATTTTACATTTTATTGGCTGACAGAGTGACACAAGTTTTCAGGACCAATCACAAAACATGGTAGAACGAGACAAAAGCAATTCCGGATTACTTAGGACACCCCATTTAAAATTGTTCCACAAAGAAAAGTGTTTGGTCAAGATTTTGTAGCGTAACGGCAAAGAGAAAAATATTGGACTGTGTGAATACCACCTTCAGGATCTAACTCCCTTTAGGGATTTTATTTTTCTTGTTCACAACGTATTCAATTTTTTTTTTTTTTCATTTCAGCGTACAAGCGATTCAAACATGCGGCGAATTATTTCTGTTTTTGACGTTTTTCGCGAAAGTTGTGCGTAACCTTTCCAATAACTCTTATCCTCAAAACAGAAACTTCTTGCTCGATAAAAAAGAAAAAAATGATAAAAAAAAAGGAAAAAGAAGAAAGTAAACCAATCCTCTTTAGGCAGGACCAATCATTATTTGACCCGTGGGGGGAGGGAGTGAAGGAATTTTTTTGGAGGGGTCACATGATTTTAAGGTAACGAAGGAGGGGTCAATCGTCGCTAACAAAGTATTAAGGGGGTACTATGGATAATTGCCTGCCTAAGGGGAGGGGGGGCGATCAGGTGAATTTTTAAGTTGACACAACCAAAATCCTACAACCCTCAGGCGATAAATGATAACTGGTCTCGAGAAACGAAAAATAAAATAGTAAAAATAAAATCATAGCTGCATTCAAAGCACGAAGAAGATTTCACAATATCATGAAGTTTATGTCGCAATTCGTGCACTGAAGCGTTTCACCGGAACTCTGCAACGCTAACCTCATTGACCCTTCTCTGACGTCACACGAGTGACTTCGTGTCAGACATATTGACATTCACATAACAGGCCTTGATTACAGAAAATTAACTGTTTATTAACCTTCTTGAAACAAAGAAAGCTCTCTTGCGTGAATATCTTTTCTAAAGTAGAGAGAAAGCATGCGCAAATATTTTAGTAGCTTTTCAAAACTTTATTGATATTAGATGCTACAGAATTCCGATATAGTTGGAAGGAAATCTACACATACGTGCGACTGAAGACCTAGAGTCAAGTCTGAAGTGCTACGGAATTTTCGGTATTCCTAGTTTTCGAGTCTTTCATAATTCCATAGTCGTCAAGGACAAAGTTAGAGACTAAAGAATATTAAAAAATTTTCTATAAAGTGCACAATTTCCATTCAATTTAATTTTCTGCGTGGGTTTTCAACTAATACAAAAGATTTTCATCTACGGCACCATTTCATGTGCCCAAAAGATATGTGTGTTAAATTTAGAGATAAATGCAGAAGGATATAATCTTCAATGTGCCTCTTTGAACTTTACAAAGGCGTCGAAGTTTCTTATTGTGTCGCACTAAGTAGGCAGGTAAGCCAGGTTATCAAAACACAATAACAGGGTCTTAGCATGCAATAATAAATTGAATGAGACCATATAACCCTCTATGAGGGCCTCGATATTGCATAAATCCAATTAAGTTTATCGCAGTTCTCCACGGAACATCGATGTGTAAAGGATGTTTCATAACGAATTGTTACATAATCACAATTTCTACTCATCAATTTTATCCATTTCCCCGACACTACCTTTGTTAAAAACTGACAAAAGAGGTGGCGGAGTTGGCTCATCTCGAAATCTCAGATAGCGTATTTTCCGCATTTCTTCCTTCGATGGTAATTCTTCTTGCAGCTTTCGCAAGCGTTGATCAATAACCTCGTTGAAATCCATGAATCCAAGACTGGATAAATCTGGCATTGATCGCGTAAGACCGTCATCTCGATCAGCTCTTAAGAGTAACGAGTTTCTGAATAGTTCTTCGTCTGACAAAAATCCATGATCGTGTTCATGTGCGCCTTGATTTTCTTCTTCGGAGTTTGCTTCGAGTTCCCAGTCGCAAGGTTCACTTTGATCTTCGATATTAATCGTTGGAATTGCGTCACTTCCCTCCTTTTTTGGTTCATTTTCTTCCCGTTTTCCTCGCTCGCCCGATCTCGTATTAGGTCTCTTTAAGAAGTCACTTACACGATCATTAAGCTCCAATGATGTGTTTGAAAATTCATCAGAACTTCGACTCACCAACTTTTCATCGGAATTTTCAAGAGGCTGAACGTTAGTTCCTCTACCTAAATCAGGACGTGGCTGGCTTGTGGCTTTGCTGCGTTCTAATTTTGCAACTAAATTTGGTGATGATTTTGGTCTGTATAGATTACTTGATGATAAGTCATTATCAGATGATAGCCCCCGCGTACGCCGGGAGCCTGCAGGACTACTCGATGAGTTCGGTCTGGTTTCGATACCGAAATCCCGTTTGACAACCAAAGCTGTGTTTTTCGTGCTGATTTGAGGCAAAAATGGTTTTGAAAATTCTTTACTACTGCCCTGTATCGTGAGAGGCGAAACCATTCGAGGTCTCGAACGATCTTGACGGCTTTTACTTTGTCTAGGATCGCCTACCGTTCTCCCAAAAGATCCTTTCGGTCGCTGATGTCTGGCGGGTAACATTCCTTTACGCGATTGCTTTAAGTCCAAAATCTCGGCCTGCATATTGACAAGATTCTGTTGTAGCTGAAGATCGAGATGTTGAAGATGTCCTGCCAGTCTTCGATTCTCGCTGGCATTTCTCAGAGTCATTCCTCGACTTAAATCGCTCACTCGATAGCTGCCCGCGTTTAGCGACATCTTGCATCTCTCTTCAAATCTACTTCCCAGCGTATCGTTTGCCAAATTGATTGTCACATAAAATTAAGTCTCTGTCAATTAATGTCGACAGTTCTTGAACGTGTTGTTCCGGTAAGATACAGCCAAAACAATTACACGCGTCAGGTCACATTTTGTCCGCATTCTAATTACGTCACGCTCTTTCTAGCAATGTCACGCTTTGTCACACACTCCTGAAGAGATTACCTTTTTAGTTCGCGCACGAAACGCGTTAAAACAAACCTTTTCATGAGTCTCTTTATCGGAAGACACTGTAAGAAATTTTAATGCGCATAGAATTAGGTCGTGAATTTTGAATGATGCTTTGAATAATCTTTATTGGCATTCAGAACAAGTGTCATTTTCTGCGAGACACGCGCGTGTCTCGCCACTTGCGCCCGACTCGCGCTTGATGCACGCTAAATGAAAACCTGTAATGCAAGCTAACTTTAGCAATTTTTCATGTCCAGTTTGTGTCCTCATCTATCAGTGAGGGGAAACTAGCGTGCGTTGATGGTTCCCTGCCCCATCACAAGTTCGGGGCAATTAGAAACTCAAGTCTCCGATGCTCGAAGAAAAATTCAGGGAGGATAAATTATCGAGGTCCCTGTTTCAGAGTCAGCTTTGTGTGCAGCAATACTCTGAAAAACTCGGGAAAAGGCAAAAGTGGTAAATAGTAACCGGTCTCACAAAGTACCTGAGCCTGCGAAAATCCAGCTGCCCGCCTGTCGATGCGTGCGCATAGCGCGGGAATAAGAAAATTATATCCAAGATGGCGCGTCGAACAACAAATCGGAAACAACAGGGAACTGTTCTGAAGCAAGCATGGGAATGGGCTGATTACACTGAACCAGAAAATGTCATCAATGATAACGTTGAAAGCGCCTATAGAATAAATACTGCCGCCTGTTCTCCGGGAAATTGCAGGTGATAAGCTGGCTTTTATTTGCTTTTATCGATGGAAATCCATTTGAACTGAGTCTGAATTTGAAATTAACATGGAGATATTTGACTTTGTGAATCAAAAAGGGACGTTCGATATTGTTGACGAATCCGAAAGGTACGACCCTTACTTTGATTGAAACCCAAAGATCACCGTTTCAAATTAACGAAAGCGCTGTGCACAATTTTTTCTTTGTTTTGAGAAATAAATTAAACGGAAGCCGAGAACAATCATTATGATCAATTTCTATTTAATGTCGTATACCTCTTTAAGGTCAGTACTCTGTTTTTACAGTATTGCGGCTATGTATCACAACTATTGATATTAGTGCTAATTTCTATTTGAGATACTAACAATCTTAATTAACTGTTAGCAACCTTCCAATCATGATGACAACAACTGGAAGACAGTAGTATTTTGAAAACTGGATTGGTCCTTTATTGATAAGAGCTTGGGAATTTCGAAAATTGTATACTCTGCTTCTATGTTAGACATCAGCTTGGACAATACTTCTAGAAGCCATTGTTAGCCATCTCTGGGACAAGAAACAACATAAAATTAATAGAAATGTCAAATGCCTCGACTATATGAATGGGGGATTGTAGGCACAAGATCCACATACTTCAAACTCAAATCTAGTTCACTTAGCCTGAATCTCAAGGTTTTTCACAATCGACTGAAGTGTCACAGATTCTTGGTAATCCATCCCAACTTACTTTATCCAAAGGTAGACTAAACTTACAGATCATGTGTACTTAGGGCATCTGCTGGTAAATGCTATTGGTTCACATATTGGTTGAGAGTCTACCAACTGTCGGTCACCTTGTTATTCAAGTTGGAAAACCATCAGTTGCCACTATTGGTGGATAGTTGGTTGGTATGTCGGTCGACACTCGGCTGACACCTTGACTGTTACATTGCGATCAACAGTTGGCAGCATATCAGTCAAGTGTCAGTGGTGTATCGGTGGATTGTTGGTGGTAGATAAGTATTTTTAACCATAGTTTTGCTGGGATGACAACAGTCTCCTAGCCCTTTTCCCTTACCTACTGGGAAGGAGAAAGAGGAGTCTCTATCACCTATGCTCATATATGACAGAGGGGGATACAGCTTAAACTGCTTTCATTTCGAATATTTAAGTTTAAAACAAGAAAGAAAACTTAAACTGAAAAAACAGTCTTTGACATTGATGAATATGGCTGGCTGGCATGAAAGGTCAAGAATGGACATTGTTTTGCAAAGGCTAGAGAATGTAAGCTAATGTGTGAATGGAGAAGATAGGGTCCACCAAGTGTTAGTAAAGTATCACCAGCTTGTTGAAAGAGTATCTTCTGACATGCATGTTGCTTGAGAGGTGACTGATGTTGTTTGACATGTCAGCTGACTATCAGCTGAAGTCTGAACTGAGTAATGGCCAATATATCCATAAACACTCAACTGTTAATACTGACTGATACTCAACTAACAGATGCCTTAAGTACATATGATCCAAACTTCCTTTTGCAATGCACAGTTGCCTACCAGCCTGTAGAAAACCTTCAAGATATCATTTGTAAATTGCATTTCGAAAAAGCCGTATCAAGGCTGTTAACATAAAATGATTTGTGTCTTTCATAGGAGGAACTGCAAAGCAAATCCAAACTGTTTTAATTGCCTTGGAGAAAGATTTTGGCTCAGCGAAATTAAAGGTATTAATAATTAAGAATATTTAATGATAGATATTTAATAAGTAAATTATGCAACAAACTGTATTTACAGGAGACTGCAAATTTGTATTTCGTAGGAGCAACTCTCAGTTTGTATTTATTCTTTTCAGACAGTTACTGGTTAAATTGTGAAGACCCAGAAAATGAGAGACGCCCAGAGGTATGAGATGATCATGATCTCTTCTCCTTACCGTATGAGTCCAATATCAAGCAGACAAGTAATGAAATATCAGTTAGGGAATCATTGGTTGATCTAATTCCAAATTCTCTAAACTAAATTCATATGAATTGTATGCTAGACAGTAAGGAGAATTGCTAATGAGATTGTGGGAGTTCAAGGTATAAGCACCAACCCTCCCCTCCCCCCTAAAAATGGAAGTGCACAAGAGGAATATTGGAAATTATTTCTTAAGTTTACTGGGTTAAAACCTCTAAATTCACAGTCTATGGTATATCTTCATATTTTGTTGTTATTTATTGTTTTGTGGCAAAACAAACTTTTAACTTGCTGAAAATGGTGAAAATTTAGTGCTCATCTCAAGTAAGCACTCATTCTTCAGGTTCATTAAGGTAATAACTACCTCTTTGAATCAATACAGTATCTAAATTTTAGAATTTACTTGTCTTTTGTCATATTAAAAATATATTATGAAATAAACCAGAATATAACACTTGTTCTAATTTGGCTGTCTTATGCACCAATCTGTCTCTTCATTTAATTTTTCATTTTCTCACATTTGGCTTTTCAGAATGCTTTTGTTGGGCTTAAGAACCTTGGAGCTACATGTTATGTGAATACATTTTTACAGGTGAGACAATTCACAGCTGACATGAAATAAAGTAAACCATCATTTTGCCTGAGGGCTATTTGTTTCTACCACAGGTTTGGTTTCATAATCCAGTGTTTCGTTCAGCTATGTACAAGTACATCTCTCCTACAAGCGGAAGACCAGAACAAGAGGTTAATAGAGGTGAGAATTATTGTAATTAGAAAATTATGTTTAACATTTAGAACAAGCATAGTCTGTGCTCAAGCCAAGTGGCCCATCCAGCTAGAAATTATCCTGGTTTCCTCAGCAGGAAGTGACTAGATATATTGCTACTCTTCCCTGGATAGGAGGCCAGTCCGGTGCAAAGATTGAAAATGTAACTTGGCCACCATAAAGAGTTTCACAATGACATTTCAAGCATTAGCTCGTTGTCAGCTTCAAAACTCTTTATGGTGGCCAGTTTATGTTATAAACTCATTTGATAATACTAAATTACCCTGTTATACACTCCAACCAATGCAGCACCAGTTTCTTTAGAAATTTACCCCCTTTATTCATCGCCAAGCTTACCCCTTACCAGTTCATCAGGCTTCCCTAAAAATTCACCAGTGAGAGACTGTGAGGATTTAGTGTCTTGCCCAAGAACACAACACAATGACCAGACCAGGTCCTGATTGGCCAACTCTTTTCCCTAGTCCTGTGTAATAACCAGAATGCTGCATTTTCTCCTATGGAGTGAGCATGGGGTAACAAAAATTCTGAGTTTCCTGTGAGGGATCAGACTTCAGCCCATTTACAAAATTTTTCCTTAGTATGTTTCTACAAGTGAAAGATAAACAGCCTGTTCTCAAGGTAACTGGACTCCAGGTCAAGAGGTCTGGGTTTGAGACAGGTCAAAGTGTTGTGTTCTTGGAAAAAACACTTTACTGTAATGGTGCTTCTCTCTGCCCAGTACTGTAAATGAGTATGGGGAAATTGTCAGGGAAGCCTGATGAAATGCTGGGGGTAACCTTTCAAAAGATTAGCATCCCATCTAGTGATACTCCTAGTTGCTTCAAACCGGGCTAAGCTCAGGCTGGGTGGGCCACAGGGATCAAGTACAGGCTTTGCCTTCTCAAGTCAATTGGTGCATCCAGTCCTACTCTATCCTGGTTCCTCAGAATAATGCTACTCACCCCTGGTCTCCCTGATAGGTCATCAGTACTCAGTTATAAATAATGTTGAGCTGTGAGAGGCACTGGGAAAGTAAAGTGTCTTGTCTAAGAACAAATCATAATGACACAGCCAGATCTCATTCTAGGATTCCTTGACCCAGAGTTCAACACCCTTTTTGTTGGACAACCATGTCTTCCACATCTTTATATACGTGCTCATTCTTAATGGTTACCTGCTATTCTTTCCAAATTGTCAGCTGTAAATGGCTTGTCAACATCAGAAACTTTATCAAGCAGCTCAAATAACTCTGAGGTGACTAATCATAGCAGTCATAATGGTGAAACCTCAAATAAACCTGCCAAAGATTCTTCTAAATTGAACCATCACAGTAGTGAGAATGGGGGATCCCTGGATAAACCTCTAAATGTGCCAACAACTCCCAGTAAGGTGTCGGCTGTCGAGCAGGTTCCGTTGCTTCCCTCTACTACCATACTGAACTCAGATGAAGCACCAACGACTGTTTGTGGACACCTTCAGTTGCTGTTTGCTCAGTTGCAGTACAGTTTTCGAAGGTACAGTATAAAGTTTAGGCTGTTATTTATTAACACTTTCACTCCAAGATCTCATCAATAACTCTCCCCACTGAGTGCCATACAATTTTTATGATGTTAGTTTGGAGAATTTGGTATTGGATCAATGGATAATCCTGAAATTGATGGTTTTCTTTGTTTTCATCACTTGTCTGCTTATAATATTGTATCAATGTTGCAAGGAGATATTCTGTAATGGTTACTCATGGACTAAACTTGGGTGAGATGGGGTTTTTCCAAATTTCTAGATATTTGTCAGCTAATAGCTTGGTAGAAAACCATGCTAAATGGAAAGTATTATTAATTGCTTGAATTTTTGTATGTAGTCTTCAAATTTATAGAAAAACATTGTCTAGAAGTGTTTTTGGTGGGGCCTGTATATGAGATTTTTTTTCTGGGAGGGGGGGAGGGGTGAAAGGAAAAAAGAAACCTTTTGTTTCACTGAATAAACCAAAACATCAAAAACTGATTGGTTGCTTGTTAAGAAGTAACTTTGGTAACCATGTAAAATTTCAGAAATGAGAGTGGGCATGGAAATTTGAAGAAAACTGTAATTATTTTTGCAGGTACATTGATCCAAGTCCTTTTGTAGACAGTTTAGGACTTGACACTGCACAACAGCAGGTATTTTAACATGAATTAATTGTTGGTGCCCTTGAGCAAGTGAAAATTTCTTAGTTCAAATTGTCCACAATTTTACACATTTCCTGTGGTATTATCAGCAAGGAGAATCTGTCAAACAATCAAGAGCTTATTTAGTTAGCCATCATTTCCATTATTCTCATGACCCCAATATTTGAATCAGTGGTGATTCTGTAAGGAGAATTAGATGGTAGTCACTCTTAGTGATATAGGATTAATAGTGCAACATAACGTTGTTGAAAATTAATGTTTTAGGTATTGTCATTTTCCTTTTTTTTTTTTTTAGTTTTGGTAAGTTGCTTAGAAATTTGTTTTATGTTCTAGGATGCTCAAGAATTTAGCAAACTATTTACCTCATTACTTGAAGAAACTTTCTCAAAGCAGGTTGGTTTACTGAGATTGTATTGTTTTGACAGAAATTATTACAGTCAAGCTTGCTCTTGTGGTCACCTCTCTAAGATGGACAACTTCCTCTGTTGTTCAGATGGCTCTTGTAGAGAGGTGTGACCATATTTTACACTTTGAACCACAGAAAAAAATTAAATCTCTACTTGAACCAAGTGGGTCATCATTATTCTGATTTCCATAGTGTCAAGGAGTATTGTAGACATCTCCTGCCTGGATGGGATACCACTCAATCACAAGTTGACCCCCCAGGGGTAAACTTGTAATTGAGTAGGTTTTCATCAGGTTTTCATGACAATAGCCAGTACCCATTTATATTCCTGGGTGGTAAGAGAAACTGTGGAAGTCAAGTGTTTTGCTAAAGAACAGAACACAATGACCCCCTGCCAGTTCTTGAACCCAGACCTCTTGAATTGGAGTCCAGTGCACTTACTTACTAACCTACTCATACCATAGAATGAAAAAGACACAGCTTATTGTTCTGCATCATTACACTCCTTTTTTTTTTTTTATAGGCTGAGCCTGAGGTGCAGAATATTGTTCAGTCTCAGTTTGGAGGGGAGTACTTCTATGTTACAGAGTAAGTGCAACACATTCTGAATATTAACCCATTCTTTCCCAAGATCTTAGCATGAAAATTCTGAAAGTTCTTTGCTGCTGATGAAAACTTGATCTTTTAGATGTCTGAGGTGTGGGAATAAATCCAAGAGGCTTTCTCGTTTTTATGAACTGGACCTTAACATACAAGGCCACTCATCACTGAACCAGTGTATCAAGGAGTTTTTGAAGGTGATGTAGGATTTACATTTTTGTTGTCGCACTTGGTTAGCTCCTGTTGTAGAATGTAGTACTGCCTGCAGAATGGTAGGGGTTCAAGCCCAGACTGTACCAAAACTCAGGGTCTTAAAATAACTGAAGAGAATGTGCTGCCTTCGTATGGCATCTGCAAATGGTTTTGAAATAAGGTTGGATAGGATGATAAACAATAAGCTCCATCTCCTGCATCTTCTCTGCATGTGTCAGCAGGGGATGTTAAAGAACCCACTCAATTCTTGCAAAAAGTAGCAAACATAGCTCCTGGTATTGTGGTCTAGCCTTGTTCTTGTTTATACAGGCCAACATTTAACCCTTTAACTCCCACAAGTGACCAAGACAGAATTTCTCCTTACAATATCGATACAATATCAAGCAGACAAGTGATGAGAATAGAGAAAAATCTTAATAAGGGGATTATTAGTTGATCCAATACCAAATTCTCCAAACTAACATCAGAAGAGCTATGTGGCAGATAGTGAGGAGAATTAGTAATGAGATCTTGGGAGTTAAAGGGTTAAGTCAGCTTTTAAGCTGAAGTGACTCATCCTGTCTAAATGCCACAAATAAATAAATAAAATTGTTATTGTCGTCACTTTGTTTGATTATCCCTTAGCAAATCAAGTGGAATCTTTTTTTGTAAACAGGAAGAAAAGTTGGATGGTGACAATCAGTATTATTGCACTCAGTGTAACAGCAAACAGAATGCGGCACGTTACATTGAACTTCACTCCCTCCCTCCTGTACTCAATCTGCAACTGTTAAGATTTGTGTTTGACAGGTAAGGTTAATATTGCAGTAAGAGTGAAAACTGTGGACCCTCTGTTTTCTGTACATTTTTTAAGGTGCTGACAAGACGAATTTGTCCAACAGTAGAGCCTACTTAGTTGGTGTTCATTTTCTTTGTTCTTGTCACCTCAATTTGTGATTCAGGGGTGATATTGCGAGGAGAAATTAGACCCTTAGGTGTTAATGGGCCAAGAATTGAAAGATAAGAGTGGGGGGAGGAGTGAGTTTTTAAGGGTGGAGGGTAAGTTATGAACATTTGATATGAATGGCACTACACTTTTTAGGAAAGAAAAGTGAGTTGATTACAACAGGAACCCAACCAACAAAAGGCAAGCTACTGTCCCTGGTTTGCTTCCAGCAGTCATTCTTCAGCTAGGAGTAGTGAGGATCATTCTACCCCATCCCTTCCCTCCCCCTCTCCTCCTCCCCCTTCCCCCCCCCCCCCCCCCAGCCTGTTGGTCATCATAAGAGGTAGCTTAAGGTCAGGATGTAGTTGTTTGATGTTAGACAGCTGATTAGGGTTAAATTGTACTCCAGGTTTCTCTATTCCTTTGTTCAAAAGCCATTTTCAGATAATTTTTCTCTATTATTTTTAGAGATTCCAATCATCAAATTGTAGACCAAAAAAATTATACTGAATTTTCTTTTAAACCTTTCAGATCAGAAATCAGATCTCACAGTAACCTTGGATTATCTGACCCCAGCTTTGAATAACCTGGCCCATATCCATATACTTATTCATCAGTGTTGTTTTTTGTATACAGGAAAACAGGATACAAAAAGAAACTGAACTCATTCATTCAGTTTCCAGATAATCTTGATATGACAGAACATGTCAAGAGTGGAGGCTCTGGTAAGTAACTTGATGCACATTTTTTCAGAATTTTTTTTTTAATTCCAATAACAGTTAGTACTGGTTTACGTTCATTGTTGTTGTTGTTGTTGTTGTTTTTTTTTGGGATAGGATCTAACCATGAGTATGAGCTGAGTGCAGTTTTGATGCATTTTGGAGTCAGTGCGTATTCAGGACACTATGTAGCACACATTAGAGACAAGAAGGTTTGTAAGTCCTTTTGCAAATCATCTAGCACTGCAGCATGAACGGCAAAGACATCAAGATTTCAGACAGTGAGTGAAGTGATCATGTACGAGGTCTGTGGGTGGTCTGCCAAACCTCCTGTAGACTTCTTGCATGCTTGCTTTACATGCCTACTTGTGTTGTAGTGCCAGTGCAAGCATGCTCTCAGCCTGCAAACTATCCTATACTCCAAAACTGACCTGCAAGGTGCTGTAATCTCAAGAACAGGCACAACTGTTGATGTTATGTTGCAGCACCACTGGTATACATGGGAAAGGAGGGTTACCAATAGTTGGTTTGTGTTCAGCTGGAGGTTTTGCCTGAGTATGAATGTAATAATGTAACATAATGTTTTGTATCAATAGTCTGGGTCATGGTACAAGTTCAATGATGAAGACATTGTTAAGATGCAAGGAAAGTTGAAGCTTTCTCAGGATGAAGACTCAACAGGTTTTGTTTCCAGTTGTTCTTAATTTCTAAAACTAACAGGAGGGGTTTCTTTTGAATTTTTTTAGCATGGTTCAGTTTCCTTCAATATGAGAAACTGATTGCTCAGTCATTCCATAATTTTACTTTGATTTTCTGCATTTAACCTTTCAAATCCCAGAAGTGATTAACATGTAGATTCTCCCCATAATATCCATATATTATACAGCAAACAGGTAATGGGAATACTCAAACTTATCAGGTAGAAGTTGGTCTCTTAAATGAACATTACATTCAAGGAAATTTATAGCAGCTAGAAGGGAGAATTGATAATTAAATCATTGAGGGTTAAAGAGTAAACAGGTTTACTTGTAATAACTGTTGATGCACAGAATTAATTTTTATCTTCCCTGGTTTTTGATAGTAGATTAGGCAAGTACCAAACATGTACTGAATACTCTAAACCACAGTAAGTTATTATCTTTGATCTTTAATCTTTCATTTGTTTGTTAAAGATATATATATTTTTTCTCCCTTACAGACACCAGCCCTAAGCCTGCTAAAAGGCCAAAATGTGCTCAAGGATTTCATGTGTCAAAAAATGCATACACTCTGGTGTACACTTTGAAAGGGCATAAAGGTGTAGGTAAGATGCTGCAACTAGTGTTAAAAGTAGATCTTCCTTTGTAAAGCTCAGAGGTTTTCAGATTTTTGGTTACAAGTTAAGGGGGGTTTTAAATATTCATTTTATTGAACTGATTTGTAAAATTATTTAGGTCAAACATGCAGTCTAGTTGAAATTCTTCTTGAGATTTTTCATTTTGTCTATTCATACAAACTTGTGACAATCTTGGTATGAAATAATGCAAAAAGTTTATTGCTATGCAACATTGATATCGTCTTTCAGTATGGAATAATTACAGTTATTATTAATCTACTACTGCGTTAATATTAAATTATTATTAAATTGTTGTAATTGTCATTATTATCATTATTATCGTTGTTAAAGGAAGTGAAGATGATGATGTCGAAGTCCCACCTCACGTACTTGAGTTAGTTGCCATGGACAACAGTTTATTTGAACACTGGGTTACGCAGGTCAAGACATTTCGTGTAAGAAAATATTACGTGTATTGTGCGCCCATATTGTAAATCAGAGCAATTTTTCTCTCTTTCTGTTTTGCAAAGGCCTGGAGACACTGTTGTTACTTATGGACTGAACAAATATAGAGCAATTTTCAATTGAGTTTCGGAAGTAATCTGGAATTGCTTTTACTTTGCTTTACTTCGCTATGGGATTAGTCCAGAAAACTCGTGCCACCTTCTCAACCAATCAGATTCAAAAGTAACACTAATTACGACTTAGTTGCTGCCATTTTCCCGCGCTTTTGGTCGTTTACTTGTTTTTACTGAGTTCTCGTTGGCTTCTCTCGATATTTTCCTCTGTTCTGATTGGCTCTTGTGATTACATTGGTTTCGGTTTACGACACTCAATCGAAATGCGTTCTATCACAAAATTACAAAGCCCACAGCTATTGAATACCTTAACAAAGAAGACTTGGGATGTGAAATTTTCCATAAATAACTTTGGGAAATTTTTCTTTAGCAAAAGCTGATTGCCAAAGGACAAGAAAGTCAAGCTGAAATAAGGAGACTTTATTTAGAAATTCCGGTATCTTCAGGTAAGATCATTTTTATTCAAGATAACAATTGACCTGATAAGTGTATTTCATGGATGAGATACGTTGTGAAGGGCTGGACTCCAATTGACCTCTTAACCCCTAAGAGTGACTGGCTTCTAATTTCTCCTTACAATATCACCCTTGAATCAAACATTTTTGTCTATGAGAGTAAAGGAAATGATCACCACTTTAGGAAGCTCTTGATCGTCAAACGAATTCTCCTTGTCAGTAGCATAGGAAATGTAAAGAGGACAGTGCAGAGAATATCAATGTTGGGGGAGTAAAGGGTAAAACGCGATTTAAGAGCAATTTTTTTAACTGAGATTCGACAAAATCCTCGTCTTCATTTGTTTTCTGTCTCTTCGCTCAGTGATTGGTTAAAAAAAACTTGCCCGCCCTGTCAATCAAACAGACGTGAAACTGCAACCAACCAGCGCGCTGTGTTCACTTTGAGTTTTCACTGGATTCTTCTGAAATCATCTTTTGTACTGACTGACCATTTTTTTCGCCTCTCAGGAAAAGACTATGAATGGATTTCTACCAAATGGCTGAAGGACTGGATGAATGAAAAAACTGTGACTCCGCCAGTGGACAATTCCTCTTTATTGTGTTCTCATGGAAAGTAAGTCGTATCACGTAGTGTATGTTGTAGTGTTGTATTTCTGCCCTCAAAAGAGCTCTCCTTTGGACTGGAGTAGTTTTCTTTTAAGTGTCGAAAGCGATGCGGATTGCATCAATTAGGCTTTACTTCACTCTGAAGCGCCTCTCTCAACCAATCAGATGCGAAACTGACACCAAGCGCGTCTTGGTCACACGTGTTTTCCCGCGCTTCAGACACTTTGTTCACGTGCGTTTTCCCGCCCTTCAAACAGTGTTTGTGTTCTAAATTTGAGTTCTCATTGGCTTCTGGTGATAATTTCCTTTCTTCTGATTGGCTATCGTGATTTGTCTAGTTTCGGTCTTACGACACTCAGTCGAAAAGCGCTCTAAGTTTTATCTGATTTATTCCTTGACCTGTTGCTTTGTTTATATTACGACAGGCTTGATCCCAATCAAGCGCTTAATGCCAAGAGGATCAACATCAAAGCTGTAAGTTGCCAATTATTTGAAAATACTCTCAATGATTTCTTTTTCACTGCTTGTAGTTAGCGAGCATTCTTAGAAGACAATTTGGGAATTAAATGCAGCTTGTTGTTATTTATTTCTTCTTGTCTTCGTAGGCTGACGAAATATTCAGAAATTACGGTGGACTGCCTAGACTTCAAAGGTGTGCTTTTGGGATATTTTTGTTAAACTTTCAGCCGAAACAAATTTTGTTACAATTAATCGAATGTTATTTTAGCCCGCTCTTGTCATTGTTCAGACTGTTTTGCTGTCATTTTTTCAATTTTTGATTTCTTCATGCCCTTCAAAGTGATAATGACAGTAATACAGTACATACTCTTTTAACCCTCGCCTAGTAGCTTGGGCTAAAATGACTCTGAGTCAGGCATGAATTACATTTATGCCCGCGAATATAAACTCTATTGTTTTATACCTGAGGCGCGGGAAAACGCGAGTGACCGGGTCCTCAGTGTTTGGTTAGAGGTTTGCATCTGATTGGTTGACAGGGTGGCTCATGTTTTCTTAACCTATCACTGAGCGACGTAAAGCAAAACCAATGGAATCTCAGAGTCTCTCGACTCTCATTTAAAAATTTACCTTATGCAATAGAGTATGTAACCAAATCACCTTCACAACCTTAATATTTATTTTTTCTTCATCCAGTGATTCTTTGTGTATCAAATGTGTGCAAGAACAGTGTAGGAGAATACGGTTCGAAACTCGGCTGTCTGAAGACTACAAGTTTGTGTCAGACACTTTGAAGTCTCAACAATCCAACAGGTAACTTCTTCTATTTCTTGTGTCGCATAGTAGAAATAAATCAATTTCAAGGGCCACTAAGAAATAAGAACTCAAAGAAAATACACGTAACCAGCGCATAGCGCGGGAAAATTGCCTTCGTCGCTATCACAAAATTTCGTAGTGCTCGGGCACAGTGCTACTATAAGTTACTTCTAGTTTTCACCGTAATGTTCTCGATGTTTCTCTGTTTAGCTGTAGCTTTCCTTTCATTCTCAGTGCAAATTATTTTTGGGTTGGTCGGCGGTCGCTTCTTCGATGGAAAGTTTTGGCGAATTACCAAGAGGAGGCACGGCAGAGTTTGATGGACAGTTGTCGAGTTACAGCCAATCACGAAACAGAAGACGACGACGAAGATAAAGCCAGACAGCATGAGAATAATGATATGACCATGACAGAAGAGGGAGGGAAACCACAGACATTGGACGGAGATCTACAGGACCCTGGCGAACAGGAGGAGGAAGACGAAGGAAATTCTGAATTCAATGAAGATTTGCTTTGTGAACATGGTGAGAAAATATCAAGACAATATGATGTAGCCCACTAGAAGGTCCTCATTATTGGCCCCTCGGCACAAGTGTTTCTTCACTCGCAGGAAACCATGAAGGCTTGAGCAATGCAAGCCAGCGAGAGGCCTGGAACGGGTCGAGTACTGATAATCAATATTAGTGCCAGACCCCCGATAAACCTCTCCCTTTTTTGTTTCAAATCTTCCCGCGTAGGGGTGGGAGGGGGGAGGGGAGGCGCGTCCTGTCGCGCTAATAATAATAATAATAATAATAATAATTATTATTATTATTATTATTATTATTATTATTGTTATTATTATGATAATGTATAAGTAATAAGTATACTCGTGTGGGCTACAAAACAGTTATGTCATGCTGCCATGACAGTGATTCACCTAAGTCTGTTACCAAAGAGACCTACGTCAACTAATTTTTTTCCGAATTATTTGTCAGGCGGCCTCTCCTCTGACGAATCCTGTCGGCGCCTTGTGCCAGATGAAGTGTGGCAGAGGTTGAGATATTACTTTCCTTCCGCTTCTGAATTCCCAGCTGCTCATTCAGCATGTAGAGCTTGCCAGGTATTTGACTTCAATTCTCACTGGCTCTGGTTTACAATGACACTGATCTACCTGCTTTAAATCCTCAATCGCAGTTATCAGGGTTGTCACTCAGTGTTGTGTAACGTAGGCTCAAACGGCGTTTAGGAAATGAGCCTGCGCTTATCCTGGGGAGTTTTTCTCGGTAGGATCGAAGACAGGACTCGAGAAGACGGTGGAAATTCAGCCTTAGTGTGACATTTTAACAAATAAGTACTGGTTTTTTCGCTTTTTAATTTTTTCTCTTTCTTACGCAGGCAGATGATGAAGAAGAACGTCAGAAGAATGAGCTTCACAAACTACTTGCATCAGAGCAGAGAACTGTTTTGAGTCAATTGTATCTCGATAGGAACCGGCCGTCATTTGATAATGGCGTAAGTTTGAAAGCCTTTACACCCTTTCATTGATATGCATATTCTCCATAGTATTATATAAATATTTCCTATGAACCAATAGGGAGAATTTAATTGACAATCAAGAGCTTCCTCAGTCGTTTCCTATATTCTCACATCCTTAAAGTGTGGTGCAAGAGTGATACTGAAATGATGATAGTCACTCTTGGGGATTAAAGGATTAAGTATAACTGTAAAAGTACCTTAACTAGCATTTGTCAATTCAAAGCCGAACTAATGGCTGAAAAAAGGAGCTGCGCTGCTACGATCTTCCCACGCTGAGTTTGGTACAAGACAGCGCGAAAACATTGCGGTAAAAAATTAGATGCCTGTTTCTTTATGGCAGACGCGAAATTCTCAGTCTCTCGATTGGTTGTATTCTCGAAAAATTTGGAAAAAGAAATGTAATGATTCCCTTTCTTACAGTTTGAGACTTTGCCATTTTGGCGTTGTATACTTGTATGTCCTAAATCTTGTAATGAAAAACACCTTTCCTTCTTTCCATCAGGATCCGTTCGTTGCTTGTGCAGTATCAAAAGATTTTATCGATCGATGGAGGCAGTTCTTAAGGTAATAACTCGCAGAGTTTGTAAAAAAACACTTTAAACGTGGCACTCAGCAACTAAGATAACAGAAGATGTAATTTCACAGATTGCTTGGCACGAGAATCGGAGAAGGAAATAACATCTAGCCTGCGAACAAACTTGCATTATTAGCTCTTCAGTGCGAGCGATTTTCCCCCGCGAATAGTTCTGGCGCCTTGAGTAACGCTAGTCAGCGAGAGGTCTGCAAAGGGTCTAGCACTGATAATCCATTACCAGTGCCAGATCCCTTGCAGACTGCTTACTGGCTCGTTATACTCAAGGGTTCGTCCTGCAGCACTAGTATTGAAGGCCTGCTCGTAAGTTAAGACAGAATATCGTTTCATCGTTGATTTACCAAAATCGGCACTTTGTTTTGACTCCAAGTTGACTATAAGCAGCCGAAACATTCCTTGCGATCACCCGATGAAATGTGTGCCATATATACGTACTCGGAGAGGTTTGCCAACATCAAAGAATATGTCATAATCTAGACACTGATTTAAAAAAAAAAAAATGTTGATATTCAAGACACAAATTAAACCGCAATTCATGTTTTGCTAGGTACCCCATAAGGAATGTTCCTCCGGAAAGAATTACAAATGCACTTTTGCTTTGCCCCCATGAAAAGTTCCATTTTAATCCTGGCTGCGAAGATGACGTGGATGGTGCGAGCGAAATGTAAGTTGTTTGGTTTGTTTGCGATCTAAGGTGTGAATGACATCGCGGCGGTTCATTGTAAAGAGTAACGTTATCTCCTCGCCCACCCTCCCTTATTTCAGGTTGCACTATGTTTGGCAACAAGAGTGGAACGTGCTTACCCGAAGCTATCCATACGATCACGTGATCACCGTCACGAAAACGGTAACAGAAGACGATGTGAGGGAGCTGGTGACTACCCCTGGCAAGTCTCTCATTTTATTATGTTTTCCATAGATTGAAATCATAGTATTATAGGCTTAAAGCGGTTAAAGGGGGCAGTGTACGATCTCTGTGCTAAAATAAGTAAGATGCTTTAAATATATTTCTCTATATATATTGCATTTGATTCTATAGCTTTCCTCGGTATTTGTTCCTCGGGGAGAGCGCGAGCTCGTTTCTTGAACAGCAGCTGGCAGAAACCTCTTTCCGCCCTGATTAATCCCCTAGAACGTGCCCGACGTCGGGCGGATGTGTCGCCTTAGCCTCCTAACCACTAGGAAACGAACAACTTTTCGTGCGGTTTGTCACTACATGACTACTTCGACCGGTCAGCACGCTGGACTGTCTGAATTGGCCACGTGAGCGCTAGGAAAACATCAAGAAGTCATTCATTATTTAATCAAGAATATGAACAGAGAACGTAATATTCTCCAATTTCCATTTCAGAAATATGCACAGATTGTTGCTTTGCGCGCATACAGGAGAGAGCTCAGCACGTAGAAAACTATCGCTATGGTACAATCTTCGTGCGGAAAATCACCAAAGATCACAGCGAGAAGGACGTTGAGCAAGTAGTGAACAGTGTAAGAATTCTGCCTTTTTAGCCGGAGGGGGGGGGGAGTGGGGGGCTTTAATGAAATTTAAATGTAGAAGAAACTTACCATCTCTAGGGAAGGTCAGGCTGCCACCTGGTTAGTTCAGGTTGTAGAGTGCCAGACTGGCGGGAGGCTAAGGGCTCAAGCCCCAGACCGGACCAACACTAAGGGTCTTAAAATAACTGTGGAGGATGTGTTGCCTTTGCTGTGACTGCTGCAAATGTTAAGACGTTCTAGTCTTTTCGATTAATTAAGGACGATGAACCGTAGGCCACATCTCCTGCATCTTCTTTGTACTGATTAGCAGGCGATATCAAAGAACCCACGCACTTCTGGCAAAGTAGGGAACGTAGCCCCCGGTGTTATGATCTGGTCTTGTTTCCAAAATTGGGGGAGCCTGCAAAATTTCCTCTCAGAAAACTGTAGTGCTTACTGCAGTCTGACCATAGTATCCCGCAATGCGTTGTAAAGCGTATTAGAGCATTAGTATGGAGAATGCGTGTTATAAATGCCACATCATCATCATCATTATCAGGAAAGTTTGTTTTAATTTATCTGGTGTAATTGCTGTTTGACAGACTCCTTCCAGCAAAGACGGTTACTGTTTCGACCCAGACTTCCAGGTTGGGGAATTCTTATATTTTGATCCGTTAGACATTTTAGACTTTATTCCTCCCAGATTAGATCTTATTATACTGTGGTTTTCAATAGAACATGAGCTCGCCGGAGCATGTGAATATCACGTGCATTCCTCACCAGTCCTCTCTCTATTTGCAGTCTCCACCGGACAGCAAGAAACAAAAACTTAACCGCGACCCGAAGGCGCGAAGAAGCTCCAGGTATTTATGTTTAGTTTTACGCTTTCTTTATTTCTTTTCTTTGAGATTTCATCATCATTGCGTTCATTACAGGCATCGTAAACAACGGGGAGAAGTGTCACTGACTGTTGGATCATCCGAGACCTTACGAGATGTCAAAGTACAGGTGAAGCAAATCTTTTTTTAATAACATATCCTCGGGGCACGGGTACCTGGATCAATTTTGCTGGATATGTGCCTCTCAGAACCCCTACCCATTGTATTCTATTCTGTGGCCAATTATAGACCCAATCTTGGTCGGGAAAGGGCGAAAAAAAGAGAAACTGAGAACGAGGGTGGCAAATAGGTTTGACTTTTCCACCTTTTTAGGAATTTTAAGTGGGGGGAGGTACCTGGCCCAGACCGATATTCGATGACTACCCCCCCCCCCCCTTCCGCAACGTTTCAAAACGTTATGCCTCCTAAGGATGTTAATAGCTTATGAGACCACTTTGGTTATGGTTTTGCGACACTTAATCGAAGCGCTTTAAACACGATTCTTAGTTAATCAAGCTATAAAGTTAAAACATGTTTTTGGTTTTTACAGTTGATGAAGAGTTTCTCGGTGATGCCGATGGACCAACACCTCACCTTAAATGGCATCCCTCTCACTGACAATGCAGCCACGCTTCGTTCATTAGGAATTAGACCGGGTTCCTTATTACTGCTTAAGGTCTGTGTATAACATGAGAATATCCTGTGACAGTTACATAGAGTATCCTCCTTCAGATAATCTTAGCATCATTTTATTCTTAATATCATAGAAGATTGCCAGTTAAATTCTTCAATCATTAATAAATTTCAATCTCTCAGGTAACGAGAAAGTATCAGTCTAAAGGCAATGAACAGGTGTCCTAAAGACTTTTAGATAATAAACTAATTATGTTCTTTATCAAATTCTTCTTACAGATTGATGAACCTCAAGGTGCCATATCACAAGAGGCTCTCCCAGGTACACAAATGATGAAATCTTCTCATTAATAGACAGCTTACAATACTGTAATACTTTCAATCATTTTTTCGTAACAAATTCTTTTGTTTTTCAGTGAACAATGCCCCTGAGGAAGGTTTCAAAGGTAAGCCTTTTGTAACATGTAAAGTTACCTGTAGATCTGCCGTTACATGGAGAAAATTTTTGTTGAGTCGAAAGTAATGGGCTCTCTGATTGGTCCAGAAAACTCGTGTTATATCAACCAATTGGATCCCAACTTCAACAAATTGTGACCTAATCACATGTGTTTTCCCGCGCTTGGAGCTACTTCGAGTTCCTATTGGCTACTTGATATGATTACTTCTGCTCTGATTGGCTGTCAGTTTTTAAATTATGGATTAAGACTACAAATTTTCGCACATTTTTGTGACTTTGTGCAATTCATAACCGTTCGTGTTTCATTTCCAGGAACTGGTCTGCTTGGTAACTCATAAAATGTGTTGCTTAGAAGTGGAAAAGGAATCACGGCAGAGCTAGACAACAGTGGCGAGATAATATGCCTCAAAGCAAATCCTATTTCGTAAAGAAACTAGAGATAACTCTATAGAAATGTTTTGAAATGTCAAGAACGGACCAGAGAGAGTTTACTGTGGAGACTGCATCTTACAACATGACCTTACTCATAAGCTTATTCCACGGAAGTTATCTGAATCACTTCGAATCCGTAAATGCCACTAGGGTCCTTGATCAGGTTGTGAGACAGGCGTCATTTTCTGGTGTTTTTCAGGCCCACCAAGGCAAGTGCGAGACATAAAGCGAGCGTGAAGGGCGAGTCATGCACGAGAAAAGGAGCGTGCAAAACTTAACAGTTGTGGTTTTTGTGCTCCTCCATTTGCGCATTTCAGCTCTCGCGCTTTCCTCGCACTCGCCACGCGCCTACCTGCGCACGCCTGAAAAACGCATGCATACACATGTAAACAAAACACCCTGAATTTCCTTCCGCGCTGAACCATTAGGCCGTCTATAGTCATTTTTCGCGGAAACACAAGTAAGCGCAAGGTTCACCTTCCCCATTATCGAGGGACTGGATACCTCCAATTAAAAAATTACTCGAGGATTACCTTGTAACAAGACCCGAACTGCATTTGTTTTATCTTTGGTTATTCGTTCATTGACGTAGCCTGCGGCGAAATGTGGCCAGCGCGAAGCGCGAGTTATAGGCTCGAAGAGCGAAAAAGAAAATAAAAAAAACAGCATTGGCGCTTTCCTCCTGCTTTTCTTGCGCGCTCCTTTGCTCGTGTGATGAACACAAAATAGGAAGAAAGGAAAAACCCTGAGCTGCAGGCTACTCTTAACAAAGATCATTTTTATACAATCTTTGTTAGCGCTGTGCATAAACTGGCTGTCTTACAAGATTCTCTCAAATGTCAAACGATAACTATGGGATTAGTTGAAATTTAATTTCAAGGTGTAAAATAGTAAATTTATAGTTGTGAATTTAAATTGAAATATATCTATAGTTTAGTTACTATGAACAAGTTCTAAGGGAAAATTGTTCAGTTGAACAATAAACATATTTGAAACTTGATTTCTGTATGGTGGTTTCTCATACGCTTCATTGCCAACAGCTTTTTTACTTTGTAAAATAAAAAAGACATAAAAAAGACCTTGACAACTCAAAATGAACATCGCTGCTGCTGCAGTAAACAAGAAGCTGTTGATTTGTCAAAATCAAAAGAAATCGTTGTAGCCAGTAAAGTCTCGCTTTTCACCCTTTCACTCCCACGTGTGACCAAGACAGAATTTCTCCTTACACTATAAATTACAATACCAAGCAGACAGGTGATGAGAATAACGGAAAATACCAATAAGGGGTTTATCAGTTGATCCAATACCAAATTCTCCAAACTCTCATCATGAGATTTATATGGCAATTAGCAACGAGAATTACTAATGAGATCTTGGGAGTGGAAGGGTTCAAGTTCCACTTGTAATTCCTAAACAACAGATTTCCTTTAATACAGGTTTGGAACAAGGTAACAAGAAGTCCGTTTGCTTTTAAACTATTTTTATCGGCCTTTCTGTAAAAAAGTTTCTAAATGACCAATCAAAAGCAAATACTGTGGAAAGAAAATGTAAAATACGAATTTGGTATACGAATGGCTTAATCGAGATGTCAGTCTTGGTCGAAATCTTCGTTTGATGCACGCGGTTCTCCTTCGTAGGGCTGAACCGTCTTCTTTGCTACTTGACTACGATGTATCACAACTCTCGGTAGAGCTTGCCGGAGGTAGGTATATATCGCTATCGGTCATAATTTCAAGGGTATTTCAACGCTGATTGATACAAAATTACAAGAGATGTGAGAGATTTGCAAGTGTCAACCGAGGGTTTTCACAGTTTTCTTACGTTATCACCCGCTAATTCGTTACCAGTCCACGGGACACTTTTAAGACAAAATAAGAGCACTTTATGGCTCGAAAAACCGTGTTTTGGGCTTTTTGAAATTTTTCTTCTGTCGGAATTGGTTTTTACATATGATAAGCTAAATATTTAAGCAAAAAAAAAAATTCGTGTCATAGGCACTTTAACCCGGGTAACGGTCTGTTTGTAGTTAGCAGGCTCAAGAGGTTCTTATGAAAAGTAAAAGAAAAATTTTAGCTTACTTGATCTTATTCCACCATTTGATTTACATGCTATGACGGTGTAAGAATGCAACATTTATGATATAATGTATCCACTAGATTGTTGTGGTTTAGCTAAAAGAAAGAAAATTTTTGAGTACTTAAGCCATCCACCAGAGCCTGTGACCAATAAATAAATCCTCCTTGCGACATCAACACACTGGAAACAAAAATATTAACCATAGGAGACAGGTATAGTTTTATTTAATATCAAATCCCAGAGCTGAAATTGTAAGAAATGTGTGGCAGGAAGTAGGGAGAATTGGTTTTGAGATCTTTAGAGCCAAAGGGTCAAGTCATAGTGCTTTTTTGTGTATTATCAGTTTTTAGTCGGCGTTGTCTATAGCCATCTTCATTGTCTTTCTCTGTTGCGTTTACTGGCGTATTTGTTTTGTTTTTCGAAGGGGGTCGGGAAGGATCATTACGTCCATTTTGAGGTTCTGGTCAATATGTAAGCATGCTATGAGTCTAGGCCCGAATTCTCTCGCTCCTTTTTACAGCGTTAAGTGATTTGTGTGGTGCTGAATACGGAGTATAATACCCATTTGACTGTACAGAATAGTAGGATCGAAAAGAATTGGAACAATGGTTTCATGTACACCTGTGAGGGTCAAATCTTAAACCAGTAAATGAAATAAGAGGCTTGACATTGTTGTTTTGCTGGTACCAAATATTTCTGTAAAGTTCATTTCAAACTTTGCGCTAAGTTAGGGCTTTTTCGATGAATTCGCGACGAAATTTTTGTTCCTTCACTAAAAGAATATTCCATCACGTACCCTCTCAAATATGATGTGTAATAGTTTGACTGACAGTGTGTCAGTTACAATTACACAATTACAATTACAATACTTTATTCAAGAGAAGGAAAATGAAAAATTGTAAAAGTATCTATCGAAAGGGGATATTCTAGAGGTTAACCCTATACAAAAGATTCCCCGAATAAAAAGACCAAAACATTATATACAGATAATTAAAAAACTGTTTACCATCATCTCAATCAATATTCATGTAAATCTTTAGTCTGTTACGAAATAAAGTCAATGATCCTGCGTGTACAATATCTTTAGGCAAATTATTCCACATATCAACGATCCGTACAAAAAAAGAAAATTTGTAGAAATTTACGCTAGCTATTTTTACGTAGAGCTTATAATCGTGATTGGCTCTAGTTCGATTACATTTAGTAAGTTCAAAATGATATCCGTTTGTTGCGAGCAATTCCTAGCCTTTGCCCAGTCATTGTAACATGTAAGTAATTGTGCCAGCGTCGATTTACCCCTTAGATACGCAAATTGGTCTGGATTAAAAAGATTGAGGTCTGACCAAAAGTCGACCACACGGGACTTTACCACAGCTTGAGAGAAGGATGTATTCAAAAATAAAGCCAGTGGAGATGACAACACTTGAGCACATTCTCTTAGGATGCGAGGTGATATGTAGTCGGGCCCAGGGGACTTATAAATATTCAAATTTCTTAGCAATTTCTCAACTTCCGTGGCAGAACAAACGATGTTACATAATTTCCCATCGGTAATGTATTGAAGGTCGGGAAAATTTTCGTGATCCTCAACAGTAAACACCGATGAGAAATAAGAATTCATACAATTGGCAATGCTCAGGTCGTCGTTAAGAAACGAATCGTTCACCTTTAAGGACGCTAAATCACATTTAACTTTTCTCTTTGATTGAAATTTCCGGTCTTTAGTTCATCTGCCAGATTGTTTACAAATTGCCTACGTGCACAGTTACACTCCTTCTTTACATAGTTGTTGAATTTACGATATTTTTTCCAATCAGAAAGAGCACAGGTTTTTTTTGCCCTTTTATAAAGCACTTTCTTTCTTCTACATAACTTAATTAGATCCCCGCTTATCCATGGTGCATTCGAAGTTCTCTTCACTGTACGCCTTGGGATACACTCGTTGACAGCAGATAAAAACATATCAGACCATGCAGCCCAAATACAATCAATGTCAGTATCCATAAAGGTACAATGCCATGGAGTGTAATATAAAAGATTCCTGAGGTGATTCCAATCCGCCTTCTTAAATGAATAGCTCAACTTCTGCGATTTCATTCCAGAGAATGATTTTCTCGATAGTAGCATAGAGATCGAGTTATGGTCAGAGAAGGGCAGGCCAACTTTTAGATCCTAGACTAGGTCAAGAGACGTGACGAATACCAAGTCTAAGATATTTCTGTTGCGAGTTGGGTCTTTGACCTGCTGGAATAGAAAATTGTCGTGTATGATATCCGACAAAAAAGTAGCGTTAGGTGAATCCACAGAAGCGCAGTCGGTGTTCCAGTCGAATTCGGGAATATTAAAGTCGCCAACAAGGACCATTTCTGGGTTTTGTGATGAAGAAAGCACAGTACCAAGAGCCGTTTGTAGATCCAACAGGCAGTTAATGCTACCGTTAGGCGGCCTATAGAAGACACCTAGACTAATTTTTCTATTCGCCGGGGATATAATATCGACAAATAATAATTCCGAATCGAAATTAACATCTTCTCTCACAGACGCACGCAACGTATCGTGTACAGCTATCAAAATACCGCCACCGCGTCGACCATTTTGAACACGATCACGCCTGAAAACCGTATAAATAGAAGGGAAGAGTTCACTATCCAAAATAGAGCTGTCCAAGTGAGTCTCCGTAAATACCATGAGATCATATTGATAGGTAGCAATCTCTAGTTCCAGCTGATTAATCTTTTTAACCAAACTCCTTGAGTTGGCGTAATAGACAGATACATCTGACCTAGGATTTGCATACGCCATGTTGTTCCCCTCACTGCTAACTCTCAAATTCCGATGACCAGTCTGTGGACCTGGATGGGAAACAACAGATCTTGAGTAGGTTTATCATATCTTGTTGGTTTTTTTCCCTCTCTTTTCCTCTTTGCGTTTCTGGAGTCCATTTATATGAGCCTTTTTACTCTGTAATTATACTTATTATTTCATCAGCGCTTTTCTTGTCAATAAATAATAATAAATTAAGAATCCGTGAATGTGATTTTGATAACTTATATCGCTCTGTGTATTGATCGCCAAAAAATGCATTCTGATTGATAAACTTTTTGGTTGAAAATGATTGTAACAATTATTCAGAGTTGTATCTACATAAAACACGAAGTGTGTAGAACTGTCCGCCCAGAGATTGGAAGCAGATATTTAATTTCAGTTTTCCATAGTAACCTTTATAATATTTGCGATAATCTTGGTAGAACATAAGAATATATAAGAATATTAATGAGCATAAACTTTCCGTACGGCTAAGCAGGAAGAAAAGCAAGAAACCAAATAGAGTCTGAATGTTTCACTTGTAAATACGGTAAATAAAAGTCGAAAGAAAGACTGAAATACTCTCAAAACTAAAAGTACGAGTATCAAGTTAAACTGACGGCGACAAATCCTGTATATAAATAACGACTGAGGGCGACATAAATAAGTAAGGTTGACACATACAACCATTCGTCAAATTATAGTTATCTTACATGTGAAAGATTACTTTCAAAATGGAAGGTAAAGACATGGCAAAATATTTTTATAAAGAACATAGCAATCACATTTCGAACTTCACGACAACCGTCTAAAAAAAAAGAGAGCGGAGTTTAGCCAAAATCTCCATTATCCCTCCCCCACTACGTGGTACTACGACTAAGTGGCTAATTTTAGATTATTATGAAATTGCAAATCAGATAGACGAGACTGGAGCGTCTTCTGCTGAAACTACGAAGACCCCATGAAATACCAGTGTACCTGAGTCAACCGTTGTAGTTGCAGAATACATTCAGATCGGGTGTGGATCCGTGAATGTCATTTTGAACACAATTAGCCGACTATAAGGTAG